CCAAATTCTACTCTTACATTTATGATATCGTTTTAATTGTTAAACATTATTTATGATTCTTATTGCCATCCGGATTTCAGTAGCAGTAGTTTTCCCCACTCAAGTCTTACTCTTCATACTGGATTGATTCTCCGAAGCACATCCTAATGCAGGTATTAGCCAATATTTCCCAGTAAGTTTTTAGTAGCGTTGGGCAATCTTCGGCACAACAAGTAAAACACATCTATATGTTTAATGAGAAGTAACCATTTTGGGAATTAATTCCTATCTGTTTTGTAGACAACATTCTAACTTGATGTTCTATAGACAACAAATATATCTTCTAATCATTATGTATTACTTACATTTACTTGTCATTTAACTGCATGTAGTTATTCAATATTGAAGCAGGATATCATGATATTTTGTCTGAGTCGCCTGTCAGGTCTTTAGTAAATCTAAATGCATAAATCTAAAAGCATAATTCATCCAAATCTAAATCATAATATTTGACACAGTGATCAGAAAACGTGTGCAGATTATTTCTGTTAATTTCAATTTAAATTTATACTACTTAATTCAGTAAAAAGTAGTAAAATACGGCTAGCATCATTATACTATATGACTATTATGCTAGTTAAAACTAATGCTTTATTTGTTTGTTGAAATGTCACAACTTTGCAGGTTTCACGTACAAAGGATTGTTTTACTGTCTATAGTTATTTGTATAATCAGTGAGACGGGTTAATGAGATTACATTTATTCGATGAATCTGTAGTTTCCATCTATTTCATGATGAATAGATTTTGTCATATAGAGTACTAAAATGCACTTCGTTCAGTAGCTATGTTTCAATGCCATATGTAAAGTGATCGCCAACGGAGAACTCATTGAAGCCTTTGAAGTGAAGACAGGAGTATTAGAAGGCAGATAACTACCGCCGATTGCATTCCTGATTATGTTAGACTGGATCATGCATCAGACTACGAGGAGCCGGAAGACAGGAATAAGTTGGGCTGATAATAGCACTCCAGAAGCTCTGTAATTTGCAGATGACTTGTGTCTGATGTCATGTGAATTCGAAAATGCTTAAGGGGGCAAAAATCAACAAGTTGGTAGTAGATTCAGTGGCGGCGGGACTTCAGTTGAACGTAGAGAAGACAGATATAATGAAGATAAATTTTGATGTGGTTGTGTTCTCTGAGCTGGATAGTTAATTTGCGAATTAACTATCCAGCTCAGAGAACACAACCACATCAAAATAATGAAGATAAAATCGAACAACGGCAAGCACCAATCATTATCAATGGGAGGAGTTTGAACGACGCCACTTCCTTCACTTATTTGGGCATTATTGTTCCGACTAAAGGCAGTACACATAAGAATGTCAAAGAGAGGATCGGGAAAGTAACACAGACCTTTATTACTGTGAAATAAGTGTGTAAATCTGCTGCAGTCACTATAGAGAAACAGATTTAGATGAGTAATACTAGTGTCGGATGAGTTATTGATTCCGTATGGTTCATAGATTTGGCGCGTCAAGAAGAGCATTGCCATCAGGCTACTTCAGACTGTGATCGATAGCTGTCCACACCCCATACTGAAGACCAGATGACCAGAAAGTGTAAACAACAGGGAACTCTGGCAGCGGACCATCCAAGAACCTGTCGCCCAACAAATATATCGAAGGCGATGTAGGTGGACTGGACACATGCTGAGAGGACTGCTGAGTAACACTACCTGTCATACCCTTGAGTGAAACCTGAATAGAAAACGGTGAGTTGTTTGTGGTTCCAAAGTTCACATTGTGGAGATCGTGTGAGGAGGAAAGGAGAACTTATGGGAGCTCATGTAGCCAACTAGAAAGGACTTTAGAGAACAGAATGAAATTGAGATTTGCTGTCGAAGGCTTATATTCCTCTCGAATTCAAGGGAATAATAGTAAAATGCAATGCGGTGATATCTGGAACTATGTTCTGATGGTTTGTTGTCTATGAAGTATTTTGCTGATTCTGTGGTTTACAGAATCATCATTTTGATTTACTGAACTGACTGCAGAAAAGTGTATTTCGGGTTAGATAACGAACTATCTGATCTAATTTAAAATCATTTAAAGAGCTGCCAACCAATACTTGAAAGCAAAATTAATTATTTACTAAAACACCATTGAAATATGTTGACCCCGAATTGTAGAGTCATTCAATTCAAACATTTTTGGATGTTCTTTTATATTTATAAAGTTGAGAATGACATCTTCATGTACATAAACATCCTTCTAACATTTCTGGCAGCATAGTAGTGAGGTGTAGTACTAACTACTAGCTTGTATTTTAAGAACGGTAGAGTTATTATAAATCTGAACGTGTATTATTTGCACTTCCTAAACTTAATACTAATAGTTTTGGAAAACTTTGATTAAGATGTACCTGAATATTTCCACAAAAGTGAGATGTGAGTGTTAATTATACGAATACACTAGTAATATTTTTAAACATATCAGTCAGACTGAAATAAGCGACTCCGTAATCTAATCCATCACAATAATCTGAACATCTGAACATACTGTAGGAATTAAACAAGAATGTACACTGAGACTCGAATATATGACACAACCTCTTGTTTATGTACACATTTCGTATCATATCCATGCAGACATTTTTGTCAGGTAAAGGACTAAAAATTTGAAATTACTTTTTTCAGTGTCTGTGAGGATTTTACAAATATACTATTTGAACATAAAGAGATACCAGAACTCACCCTTTTAGATGTCAGCATTTCAATGGGAGGAAAGTCAAAACGAACAGCTTTCAATTTAGTCGAAACTTTCTCTTTAACAACTGGAAAATTTGCTGTCTCAAAATTCACCACTCACTCTTTGTTTCTGATATTCTGATTTGTCGTTCTTTAACAACGTTTTTGCTATAAAAAAAGTTAATAATGAAGAAATTGTGTATCAAAATAACGTTCACTTTACGTAAAAACCATTCACTTTTAGAAAACAAATTAAGTAAAGTCTGAAATTTACCCTTTCAGAAATCACTTTCCTATGTTAAACATGTAATAATGGATAGATTTGAAAGGAAATGATGCTTTTCTGCATACTTAATTATCCTAGTAAGCCATTAAGAGTTACTGTCTTATATTGTTTTTAATGGGACGGCATTAACAAAATCTGCTCTAAATTACACAAAACTAAATAACTTATACTTTTTTTATCAGTTCTTCGTTCACAAAGTCGACAAGATTTATCTGTATAGTCGTTTGAACTTTTTCTGAAGTGTTTCTTGAATGATTTCGAAATATGTAGTAAATGAAGTCCTCTCATTTTCGAATAGATAGGAAGATCGTCACCTTGTGAGAAACTGAAGTGATACACAAGATTTACAATTCAGGTAGATGCATTTGGTAGTGTTGTGTTCTTGATATGACCGTTAATACATTTGTAGTTGCTCTGACGAATTTCTTACCTAGTCGATTCACGAGCCCCTTTGTTCTAACCACTATTAGCAACAACAACGACAACAGCACGATATGGTACCACCGAAACCACGACGAAAGAAGACTAGAAGAGAATCCAGACTGTTGATGTGAATAGCTTCTGCTATCTTGTATCAACAGTCAAAATGTTTGATAGCGCTTGCGTATAAATATTCTTTAAATGACCTTGAGCAACATGTTTTTTTTCGTCAGTCGATTCAACCTTATGTTTTGGCTATTTGGGAATCAGCAGAATGTGTAAGCATCTGATCGTACCTCAGTAAAAAAAATAAGTATATGACAGAAGCAGCTAACACAAACACCAGTGAACCCTTTGACCATAAAACTGTAGAAATGATTTGGGATAGTTAAGCTCAGTGTGGTAGTTTTCTGAAAAGGAAAATGAACTGAGTACCTTAGATATAGTGAAGTTAGTCTTAGAATTATTCCCTTGCTTTTATGCTTCTAGATCTGCAAGAATAACTACATTTTCAAAACTAATTTTTTCTTTTGAACGGTTATTAATAAAGAACTCACCTCTGTTAAACCATTTTTCGGTATTCTGAAACCTTTTTTTGAGACAAAATTAACAAATATTTTGGGGTGGGTTGAAATAGTGCCACATAGGTTGAATCTTTAAATGCACACCATTTTTGGAAATGTAATAAAGAATACGACTTAAAAGAAACATATTTTTTTTGCTTCACGTTCCCCGGTGGAACATAGGGCTTCAGTCTAGTGGCTTGAAGTTTCTGTGGCAGTGTTTATTTTACAGGATAGGGTTGCTAGCCTCATGCCCAACCTTTCCTCTTCACCAGCATTATTTCTGGCTTAGCGAGGTAAAGGAGTGCGTCTGTGGCCGGGGATCGAACCCTGGACCATGTGCATGGTCAGCGAGCGTCCTAACCACTAAGCCACCTTAAGAAACATATACCACTGTAGAATTCCAGCAGGTTATCTATGTATCATCACTTAGAGACTGTGTTGCCTGCATTATGTAACCCGGATGCTAATAACTCACTACCAATGATATATTCTTAAAATTACAGTGTTTGGGCATCAGGAAAGGTTAGTAGGTCCCTCTGCTCTTCTCTGCTGGACATCATCATACATTGTTTATCGATGAACTTCACTTTCAGGCAAGTAAAATGTCTCCGGCTGATTTGTAGACTTAGTTTTATTGTAGTAGTTTTGCTAATATCTATGACTATCATATCTGTGAGCGGCAGATCATATAATTTAACCCATGTACAACTTCTTGAAAATTCCAAAATTAACTCTACATTGTTTTAAACTAAAAGCATTTCATTTGAATTCTTAGTAGGAAATGTAACTTAGCTAATCAATCATATACAGAAGAATACAGGGATATTAAGCAGTGAATCTACTGATTAACCAATAGAGTAAATTTTACTTCATTGTTCATATGTCATTCAGTTGGTAGGTATTGAGGATTAACTGCAACACATGACCTTTCAATTGATTTGGACTTGTGAAAACGCTTTACCAAGAAGTGGAATGCGATTTAATATGAAAATTTTCTACTCAACCGTCACCAACAAATTCTATGGGTAAGTAATGATTCTTTTTTAATCACCACTAATATGATGTTACACTTTTTAAAAATAATTTTATGTTGCAGTCTAGTATAAGTCCATGTAATCAGCACTATAGACAATATTTAAATCTTTCTAAAAGTGTTTATGATAGATTCCAAGTTTCAATACTATTCGCTTAATAAGTATTTAGGTATTATGATACAAGATCTGCATTTATTATATGAAGCTGATCGGTTATGTCGTTAGATTTTATATCACAAAACATACTTATTTATTCATTGATAAGGAAAGACAGTTTTGTTCAACAAATAAAAGCTGATTTTCAGCGATTCCATTTTCAGGCTGTACAGCTGAGTTTATATTGCAGCAAACGACATTAAGTGGCACTAAAAGTTGCTCAGTCAAAATACATATCATTAAGAATAGAGGTTGTTTATTAAGTTCGAGTTGAAGTGGATGCTCTACACAATTTTTAAAAGTAAATTGATATAAAGAGCATAGAAGTAGGTCTAGTGTTGTCAAAAATCAGAAGTCCAATGATGGTAACCCTAAAAAAAGACGAAGATAAAGTGAAGTGGAATGAATTTAACCCATAACATATAATATAAAAGAAAAGTTGGCATCATCAAGGTGGAGAAATCAGCTTAATAAATGGTTTTTCAATACATAGTTCCAGCTCCAGCTATATATAGGTGGGGGTAAACGCAGACACCTGTAGTGACTGAATTTAACCCTGTAGATTACTTTAAAGAATAAATCATGGAGGAATTAATGACCTGACTCAAGGTGTTCACAAACAGAAGATATCGTCATCATATGCTAACCTTTCATGAATGAAATCGGGTGCTTTTTAGTTACGCGATTCAGGCGAACACGCCTACGACGTCTAATGTAATCAGCTCCCCAGAAGCATATGACAGAGTAGATACACACAGAAGTGGCTGCAATTTATACTGCAAGCACTGTCAAATCACATTTTAGCTACATAATGTCAGGTATAAGTCAGAGAAATAAAAAGAGCGTTTGATGTACTTAGACAGACGACTTTTAATAACTGAAGCAATAGAGCCACCTTTGAATGCCAAAACCATAAAAGCGTCTTCTCTGGAACTATGATTCGGCTAGGAGTGGTTTCTTCCCTAAAATTTTTTCAATAAACCTTTTAAGATATCTATTATTTAAGAGTGTTGTGCAAAAGCTTTCAAGCTTTCTGTCAGGCATATGCTTCAAGCAAATTTTAAGAACTCAGGGACATAGAGAATGGCCCCTTAAACGTCAGCTTTCGGTAGATAGACCTTTTTAATATATCATCCTTTATTCAATCTAAAATAAAATCTATGATGTGAAATGTGGAATCTTTTCCGCTAAAGTGAAAGGCGTAAATGAGTGACAACCCTCAAATATTCTAAGGAGGTTGAACACTTATCATCACAAAAAATAAAAGCATCATCGAAATATTTCTTATACAAATGCAAACTTGGTATAATCTATTTCAGTGGACCATTCTTTATACTCACTATGAAGACATCAGATAGGAGAGGTCATATAGGAGACCCAGTGGCAACTTTGTCTCTTTGGTTATGGAAGACGTCATTACTTCTAAATTGCACATTACATGTGCATCTCAATAATATCTTTAAGTAGTTAGTTGGCATTTCAGTTTTATGTTTGTTTAATGAAAGGTGAGTATTGAATGACGAAGTCTTCTATCTGTGAACACCTTCTTGAGTCAGGTCACGTCATTCGGCCCCATGCGATTTATCCTTTAAGTTCAGTTACTCTAAAGGCTTACGTTTTCTGAATTTGTGTACAGCCAAAGTTCTATCTGTACATGAACAAAAACCTAGACTCTGTATTCAAAAACATTTTGTTAAATCCCTTTCTCTATTTCGATCAGAGTGGTATTTTTTCTTATATTTTGAGATTTCCTATGATATTTTATGTTAGAGTCGAAATTCTTGGTTGTTGATTCGATTTACAAATATATCTATCTTGAATTAGTGATTTGCTTTCTACTATATTTTAATTTAAAATGCCAACAGATTTTACTAAGAAAAGGATTCTTTAAAAATCAGTGGTTTCTTTATTTAAATATTCATAATAGAATCTTTGAGAATCGTTTTGTTACATCATGTTTTAATAGTGAGTAGCTACAAGCTTCATTTGTTGCTTGTTTTAAATTTGTATATGGAAATAAATGTTTCTAACTTTAATGAGTAATTAAATGTTACAGAGGTACATCTAGACGATGAAACTAAGGTTACACGAGACTCACGTGCTGGATTTAACTTCTAGTTACTATCCAACGGGTAACTTTGTATCCTTATCCCTCTTCCTGAATTCAAACCAAATAACTTTACTTGTAAGATTTCTCGGGAAAATATCCACTCCGTACTCAGTAAATTTCATACTTATCTTTTAAATCTAACAGTGATAGAAAGACTTTCAAGCCACCATCTATTAAAGTTGTTGGTTGTCAGGAGACAAAATAATACATTACCTCGTAAGGATAAAGTTAATCAAATAGTACTAAGAACGAATGTATTGTACGCATAACATTCACTCGAAAACGAACACAATACTTGGTATTGCGTCTATTATGTCCAAATTCATTTGGTTAAAAGACTATGAATTAAAACTTTATCGATGATGACATACCTTGATTTAGATCTCAGGTTTCAAAACCAATAATTTTTCATGTAGTGCGTTGGTAGTTCAATGATAGAATGCTAGCCAACTACACACATAGCCATGTTTCAGTTTCCATTCGATATACTCCTAAACCTCACCTGGCAGGTGGTAGGTCCGGAAAAGAGGGAAGGTTGGCCGTGAGACCAGCAGCCCTACGCCGCGAAAACAACACCAACGCTACCGAACATTCAAAGTTTAAGCTTGAGGCCTTATTTTACACTCGGAACGCAAAGAGATGAAAATATTAAATGTGGTATTGTTGATAGTAAGTATAGAGTTCTGTAGAAGTTATGCTTCTAGGTAGTTACTTATTGATTAATTTTACGCAATTACTAAGATGCAGAATGTTTTACTGTATTCTTCTTTTCTTCCCGAACAAGGTGAATATCTGGTTGACAGAAATAGGAACGAAATTGGTACATTAAAAGAAGACAGTTTTGCTTTAAATGACCAAGTTAGAATGGACCTAGCAAAGAAAGCTGTCGAGATAAGTGACTCGTCAGTTATGCCGAAAGAGAAAGCAGGAGTAAAACCAATTCATTTTGATAATCTTATTGCCAGGTAATAATAGCTAAACTATTTGATTCCTTACACGTAAATAGCGTTCAATTCTATTCCACTAACTGAGTTCCTAAATATCCTATGAATAATGACATATATGACCAGTTTTGTTTTGCGAAAATGTATCTTGTTTTTGTAGAAGTGTTATTTTATCTGACAGAATTATGCGTTATCATTGTTGATCTGTTAACATAGAACTGTTCCGTTCAAAAGTTCGTGATTCATTGTCTTTAGTTGTAAGAACTGAGCATGACTATTGGGTAGAAACAAGGGGTTATGCGGGTCGAACGAATACGCACTGCAGTGTAGAAAGCAGAAATCATTTTCAAGTACTGTAGAGATTTGATTGGCTTCAAGGCATATTTCGTCGCAAACGAAAACTGTTTCCAGAATCATTGGAAACTAGGAAACAGTCTACAGGTACTGGCAGGTGTCACTTGTTGGTGGTGGCGTAATACCACCCAAATTAACGAAAATTATAATTTATGGATCACTGGATTCCGGATCGGTGGTTGAATGGCCAACAGCCTCACTTCGTAAGCTAAAGGTTTTTCATGGAGTCGTGGGTGCCTACTGCCGAGAAGTCCCAAACCAAGACAAGGCAGCTTTTCAGTGCTCCATCGTTCTCAATGGTTCTCAAAATTATTTATGTTCGTGACGAAATCTACCTTGGAAAGTTATTTTTTCTGAACTAGGCATAAAACAGTACTGTACATCAGCAAGAGAGAGGTGAAATGTGAATGTTAGTACTTCTAATCTTACTTTTGTCTATGCTACTATCTAAATTCAGTGACCGTCGCTTTCTATATCAACTAAAGTTGGGCCACGCAGTCTAACCAGCAAGTGATTATTTTTCATTTACCAGAGTTAAGGTTTCATGGATGACAACAAAAATGACAATAAATCTGTTTTTCAATACAAAATGCAAACACTCATTACTGTAAAAAGTAATTTCTAGTTCTTGTAAGCAGTTTGTAAAAGAAATAAAAGTGGCAATGAATATAATCTATACAATTGAACGAAGTCAGCTGATATGTAGGCCAATCAGCTGCATTTGACTCTTTGGGTTTAAAAAAAAATGGAGTCATATTTCTATATTCTACTCCTCTTGTTGAGTTTCATCATGTATATAGTTGATTCCTTCTGTTCATCTTCTATCTATAGAAACTTAACAAATACTGCATATATTCGGCTTCTGACAGGCTACTTTTCCTGATTTCAGACTTAACTCTTTTACAGCAAAAACAGGAGTGTTAGTTAAAATTTTCATTTGATGAAAAGTTAATCAATACACGGAAATAAGTACTCATAGTAGAATACGATAGCAGTAACAGTCTCTGAGATAAACTCAAATGAATACCTTGAGGTTGAATCTTGATTTGTCAGTCTTTTGATATTGATCTGCACTCCACTTTTAATTTCTTTCATGAAGAGTAGAAATCAGCAGAGTTCTTTCTGAACATTTATGTAGATATTGATAGCTTGATTTAGGTGCAGAAGGAATGTATGTTTATTATTCTTCATTTATGAATGACATATTTTTTAAGACGTTATTTTTATTGAATTTATTTCTTTTAACCTGTAGACTGAAGATCCATTCATAGTCTACTTTGTTGTCATTCATAATAAGATTCGGCAAAATTCCGTTCTTTGGATTAAGAAGTACTTGCTTTGAAGAAATTTTTGATGTTTCATTGTATGCTGTTGTAGGTAGATTTTCCATGTTCTTGAATTTTAAATTCTTTGGTTTCTGGAATTTCTCATGTAACCTACTTGAACTGATCTATTTACTTGGTTTAATGGAGTTGCTACGGTATTTTTTTTCATTCATGATTATTGAAGTAACTAATTATTATCTCCTGTGAATTCTACAACTTTATGAATTTTGAGACTATGGCACAATGATTGATGAACAGTGAGATGAATGATTTTATGCCACGTTACTCTACTACCGTCTTATTTTTCTATATGGTCTGACAAGTACTGGTGCTAACAATTGCTTAAAGTGGTTGTTTAGTGAAGTCGATTTATCTGAAATAATGGCGCAACTCAGAATGAGAATGGAAATCGTTTGATGTTCTCTGAGCTATGAAGATCAAATAGTTTCTGTTGATTCACATATTTCTCTCTCAAAGATATTGTATAGTTTCTCTTTGTTTAAAAAGCTGTCTTACTGAAAGTCTTATTCTTCCAGTGGGTGTTGATATTATGCGTTCCAAAAATAATACAGGACATTGCATGACATAATCTGAATTTCACCAGACATGCAGACCGTAGGAAATGTGGATTTTGAATCCCTGTACGGATGATATGTGTAGCTAAATTATGTAACTGTGGGGTTCAGGATTTGTCTGTGTAATATTGAAGGCCTAAGATAACACTGAAACACAAAACTTGTATTGTTATGCTATGCTGATCAAATTATATCTCTACATATATCCCACTTCTAGACTGTGTCTGCAAATAATTCTATAATCTTAAACTTAGTTGCATATCTGGGGGAAAACGACTTCATTTTATCTTCATATATTTCGTTATTTTTTAAGAAACGACATACTACAGAAATAGGTTGAAAAAGTTTCATTTCCAATCTTCTGGTACTTATTTCATTCTGTTCTAGTCATTATAGCCATTAAGGAATAAAATCTCTCTAACACAGTAATATGTATATTTTTTTTACCGCGAAAACTTTAAAGAGTATTCTGATTTTTTCTTCTTCAAATCATCCATTAATTTAAAAAAAATGATCAACAGACAGTTGAAGGAAAAAGTATTAAATGGTCAGCCTAATTCACGTGTATATATATATATACGTTTGAATAAAATAACTGAGATTCTCTAGAATTCGACAAGCTCCATCAAAAATAGATGTTTTTTTATTTTTCTGTATGCTTATGTCAAATGGATAGCGAATTAAATAACTTTACAATTGAAATTCTTTATTGGGAGCGAGTAAATCAGTGATCTGAGTGAGGTGGGTGTAGGCAAAAGTGACTTTCAATAGACGATGTAGAAAGGAAAATATGTATATATATATACAATTTTCAGCTTATAAAATGAACAACATCATCATTGATGACAGAATGACAGTTTTTTTACTCATGGAGAGTTTATTTGTTCACTACTCGAGTTTTACAAAACTAGACTTATTTAAAAAAAGTGAATAACATTATATAAATATATATAAGTTTTAAAATAATACTAATTCATTGTATTCTGTTGTCAGAATGAAATAAATAAGGAAATATACGGAAACTAGTGCTGATCATTGATTATTTTGTTGAACAGAAATGATTAGCGGACAAAGGGAAATTAATCTTTATTCCTACCAAATGGAGTGGATTATTAGAGAATTTTCAACACGTGGTCAATTTCAGGGATAGTGTTTAGGTTGTAAGCATATTGTAATTACTGAAGCAAACAGTTCACACACTCGCACACACCAACTGTTGTTTAATAAACATTAATTAGCTTAAAATTATTTTAACTGTTGTTATTACTTTTCAATTTCAAATATGTTTCAAGGTCTACTGTTTGTTTCAGTTGGTAAACAACCTCATTAGTTATGTGATTTCATCTTCTATGGATTACAGCAGTATGAAAAAGGTTCTGTTTTCAATATATCTAAAATTTATTGAAAGTCTTAAGTTTACGTCGCCCAGTTTAGGGGTCCAAAATGAAAAACCACTAAGTTTTAGGACCAAAAATAGCCCCATGAAGGAAAGGATTATGTACAAGGCACACAATGTATGTTTCAAGTCCTACATACTGAACCATCAATGCTGTATGACAAGCATAAAATGAAGAGCAAAGCCTTTAAAATTATAGTACTGTAACTGATCATTAAAATTAAAAGATGTTTATATATATATATAATATCTGAAGAATTGAACATTGATGGAATAATTTCTAAAGTGTAGTAAAGATTATATGACCATTCTCCAACATACTGATTAAAATAATCAAATCAATAAATTGTGCTAAACTAAGTAAACTTTATTCTAAATTCACAAATCCAGACCGTTAGCTTGAAAAATTGTCTTATTTTAACAATATGTGTACTATGTAGTTGATACATTATGCTTATGTGCTCATCTCGAGAATTGTCTGGAGTGAAGCCTTTTTTTACAGCTGACACGTTCAATAATCAACTACAGAAACTATACATGAGTAATGTTGAGAATATTACTAGAAATGATCTTTCAAAACACTGTTCGGAATTCACTGCAGTTTGAAAAATATATATGATAATTGAAATAATAGAGATTTGTAGCTCAGGTGGATGATTTACAATTAATAGTGTTCTCTGAGCTGGTGGGTTTAGTTACGGAGCTTTCGTCGTCCTTCTGGACAACATCTTCAGCGCAATATTTAGCATAAAGTGAAATGATTTAAATTTCTTCATGAGTGATAATTACATTGCTCTGTTCAGTTATTCATCAGTTTGACGAAATCCAACTTATTTTTATCTGTAACCAATTTTACTTAACCGGAAACCGACATATGTGAAATACCTGCATTATATTATTGTCCGTTTGGTTGTTCGGGATTTACAACTGCACCTTTCTAGATTTGTAAAAGTTATGCTGCTGAAACATTTAGTGTGTATATAGTCTGTATAGAACTCTGTTTTAACTTTTAAGAAACAAACACTTCGCGTACATACTTTAATCTTGGTATAGTGTCATACTATCTGCAACCTTAATGCTAGTACAAACGGTTTATTCATTCTCTTGCATTTAGCCCATTCTTCCAGGCATTTCGTGTTCACCATATGGCAATCTATTCCGATTTGAATAGACTTATAGAAGTGGCTGCTAACGATATACAACAGAAACATGAATCCATGACCAATATGGAAAACTCATTTATGAAGTAAGTGCTCATTGACTGTAAACCATTTGATGTCTCTTCCAAAAGAATTGTTTTATTAATTTCCACATAACTTATTTATATAATGTATAGACAATTTAATCTACGAGTTAACATAATTTGATTCTTATAGACCATGTTTCATTTCTATATCCATTAACTTGATATGATTATTCTTTCGGATTAGATGCTTTATTATTTTTATACTGAATAAAAGGAGAGCGTCAATAGTCTGATGGCTGGAAGACCAAAAACATAGCAAGTGGCCCGGGTTCGATTCTCAGCCGACGCAGTCTTAAACCTCACATAGTTAATTAGCCGACAGTAAGCCAGAAAAGATGAAGGGTTGGATATGGGATTAGTAATCCTATCGCGTAGAAAACAACACCATTGCTATTAAAACTTCAAAATTTTAAGCCCTCTATTCCCGTTAGAACTCAAGGAATGAAGAAAAATAAATAAATATAGGCAAAAACAACATAGCTTAAATAATATGCTTTATCACTTTGAAAGCAAGAAATTGTAAACTGCATTTTTCTGAATAGTGAGTCAATCGAACGTTTAGCTATAGGTGTTTGTAGAAGCGGTTGTGGCTGTAAATTAGTAAGATTAAAAGGTTTGCGCGATTGGGGCAAGATTTATTCCACTTCATTCATTTTAAGCTCTTGAAATGTAAGATCATGCCATCTTCACGAAAAATTCCCATTCAGACATAAATATTAGAACAAAAAGTTCAGTGAAGATTCTGTTTTCGGAGAATTCATCCACTTAGCTGTACAATCACAATTATATATAATTTTTCTTGTTTGTGTGAGTACATTAGGTTTGTCAGACAAGAATAAAATTAGTTAGGGTTATTGTTTACATCGTCAAAATATTTCAAATGCGATGAATAATCAGAGTGTAACTAGGGAGGTGAAGGTTACATAACATGAAAGACGTCCAGAAAAATAGGATTTTAGTGAAACAGCATGGAGATAAGTGTCCAAAATAAGTTATGTAATAGGTAAAAAGAGTAAATAGGGGATCAATTAACAAAAATTTGTTACTAAACTGTTATACAAAAAGATGCAAAATATAGTATTAATAACAAAACAGTTGGACTTGGAATTATACCCAAGGTAGAAGCAGGAGATGGAGAAGTTTCTTCTGTGTACGTAAATCAGGGTTTTCCATACGAATAGCTAAGGTCTCGTTGATGAAAATTGTACGGAAGCTTCATTTGACTTTGTAGATAACTTTGAATGAATTTTAATTACATATCGAGCGACCAGTGTTGAGTATATGTTCAATTATAGCACTCCTTACTGATCCTTGTGTTACCTGTTTTCGTAGCCAAGCAGGATATTGTTCTTTGACTCTTTTAGATAAAATACTCATCGAACGACCTATATATCTCGCTCTACATGAAGAAGTAAATTGGCAGATACACATAGAAGTGGTCAAATGTGATACTTTATCTTTAGAGTTGTTGGAGAATAATGGGCGGCTTGAGAATACCAACTGTAATGTGGCAGCAGAAGAGAATGTTCTTTTCAGGGCGTCGCCTCTGAACGCCACATTCATGTATAGAATCTTCTTCGGCACACAGAAGAGTTGTCCGTTGTTGATTTTTGGCTTTATGTGTTTATCTGTGAAGGGTGTGAATAACCATTTTCAAGTAGTGTCTTCCTCAGAAGAGTTATCTCTTTTTCTACTGATCCAGGGCTGCAGATTCTACGGATTACAGTCGCAAGAGATATTATCAGGTTCCGTTTGCTATTGGTGGGTACCCAACTGTAAAATTTTGTCACCTGGTAGTTCCACGTAGGCTTTCGATATGTTGATCTCTTCAGAGTCCCATCAGTCTTCTTTGTTAGTCAGACGTCCAGAAATGAGATTGTCCCTCTGGTTTCTACTTCAAATGTAAATTTGATGGCTGGCTGGCGGCTATTAAAAACCTGAAGGACATTATTTAGGTCACATTTCTTGTCACCGATGATAAAAGTGTCATCAGCTTACCCTTTGTACAGAGGGAAGTTGTCGACTGTCGGTTTCAATGGACCATTTTCCAAACTTGCCACGAAAATATCTTCAAGTAACAGGCCACACCATCTTGCTGTCTAAAAATAGTACTATTGCATGTGAAATGAATGTTCAAAGTGTATCCAAGTAGGAGTTCTTTTAACTTGTGTATCGGTATTCCAGTGTTCAAGACGTCTTTTCATGTACTTACATAACAATAAATAAAATAATAAACAAGAAAATAACCATAGAGTAAACAGGATTATTTTTAACAGCGATCAAAACGTTAGTCACTAAAAGCTATAAAAACCTTCAACAGTTTGTATTTAATTGAAAGATTTCTGCTAGTTTGGAACTTTTGATTTCACACAAATCTTCTCGGAAGATGTGATATATCCAGACGCTGAAAAGCAGCATCCGTTTTAACTAATGAATGCCCATCATTTGACAAACAGAAACGCGGTATTTGTGAATGTGGTTTTATAAGGATATACAAAGTGAATTCAGAATTATAGCCATCAATAGTTTTGTTTGTTAGCCACATTTTAGTGAATATTATTCTTAGAAATATAAGTAATGTATGAATGCTACCCTTGGGTGAATGAATGGGTGTCCTTGAGGATGATTTATAGAGTATAAACTGTATATTCTGATCACAAAATCAGAATTAAGCATGCAATATTACAGTTCTTGTGTAGAACTCTTTTTCGTACAACAAAATACAAGTAAAAATACATACATCTAAACACTCGTAAGGTTGTGTAAAAGAGTAGATTTTAAAATTCTGCTTATTTTATCAATGATAATACATCGTATAAATATGGTTTTTCATATATATTTTTGGATAAAATTTCAATCTGTGTTCAGTGTGCACAGATGAGTGCAATTTAAGCAGAACAGAAAGTTATGTCAGAATAGAGAACAACTCAATAGAATGAAATCCAACAGTGTTATGCTAAATAATCACAATAATTAGAACTCCCTGGCAATGAATAAATTCATTACAGACGGTTGACCTATAGGTATTTTCGTGACGATATTTCATATCTGGTACACCACAAAGCACTATTGAGTTGATTATCACCGGAGGTCGTCAAAGATTTCCAATAAACATGATCAGCAGGATATGACCGAAAGTCTTTTCCACACAGTGACAAACAAGAGTTTATTTTTGGAATTCCGCTTCTTTTAAGGATTTCTTAAAGGACAAACACACTTGTTCATTTAATTCTGAAAACATGAATTCAAAGGAGGATGACTAGAGTTCTGTGGTAAAGTATAATTTTAGGCTTTGAATTTGTATCACTTAAATAGACTTCAGTCATTTGACGCTATCTAGCAGACGTATTTTTCATACACGCACGATGAGAAATAGCTGTACCCTCTGTGAGGAGTTTCTGATATTATGAAAAATTTTTTTAACTTGATGGATTTCAGTGTGGAAATGAAGATGTTGTCACAGTATATTGTTAATCTAATGATGTATAAATAATTTACAATCCCAAATGTCATAGACGTGCATCCGCCATTCTGGAGTAGAATGCTCACCGAGCGTGAGGGTAGCAGTCCCAACCCGTAAAAATAAAACTACCACTATTGAAGCTCCAAAGCTTAAAGTATGAAGCCCTATGTCCCCCTAGGAACGCAAAAGAATGGAAAAAGGATTATAGACTGTGATTTACTTTTTTGTGGGGATTGCTTTAGAAGTGCTGGAAGAAGGATACCAGTGAAACAACTTAGCACTAATATAAAATATTCATCCACGTAGACTAGAAAAATACGCACAGTGGACAAATCTATTTTCAGTTAGTCTCCGGAGCTTTGCTCACCATATGATGGAATGTTATCTTGTCAACTGTTTTCGTTGTTGTTAAATTTATGCAACAAAATACTGTAGAATTTCCTTTTCAAATGAAAATGACCATAACAATCAACTGAAGAAATGTGCTCATTCTACCTTAGTCCCATTCTGTACTTTTTTAATACCTAAATGTGTAGTGAATTCTTTCCTGACTACATTCTAAATGTCACACTGTAGCAAAATAAAATGAATATCACATGAGCACTTACAGTGCAATAGTCACCATATATTATACATATTCATTTTAACTTATAAAAAAAATAAAGCTCTTCGGAAGAATTCAAGAAAACAATGGAAAATTTGTACAATGAAATGGAGTCTAAGCTTAGTCAGGAGGAAGAAATAATGACCCAGAGGGTAAGTTCTACAATGTCTAATAAATTTATTGTTTAAATGGGACAAACGCGTTGGCGGTTCAGTGGAAGAATACTTGCCAGCCACCTATATAGTCCAGGTCCGATTCCTGGCTGATGCAGTCCTAAACCTCACTTAGCTGGCAGTAACCCCGGAAAGGTTGAGCATGAGGCTAGCAACCCTACTCCGTAAAAACAACACCACATCTACTCAAACTTTACAACTTAAAGCGTGAAGCTCTTTGTTCCATTCGTAACTCAATGGAATGAAAAAAATGTGGCAGATGTAAAAGCGATAGGTTGAAAAACAACTTTTAAAAAGTTGTATTACAGAAACTTAAGGTTGCAAATATTGTTTTTAACTGGAAACTTTACATTTCAGTGAATATGTGTAGGGTAAAATTCACCCTTTCATTTTCACAATTCGGAAAAATATATTTGTGCTTTGGCGATTTATTGAAAATAGTTAAGTGTGCAACTATTTGACAGTTTCCTAAAACTGGCTCCTTTTTACATAGAATGCTAAATTGAAGGCTGCTAATTGATTCGTTACATTTCTGATGAAACTTTTCACCACTTTAGGGCTTTCTTTTAACACACGAAAAAGATTAACGATTAATTTCTCGGAAATGTCACAGTCAGTTGAACGCACGATATTCATTGCTGTATCGCGGAATTATTCAGTATGCTTAGGTAAAGAAATTGAAATTCATTACTTTCAAGGCTGATCACGAGGTAACTTCATTCAGAGAACCACTGAAATCCACGGAGTACCGGACATCTTTTTCGTCTTGGTTTGGGGCTCTTCATCAGTTCGCGCTCATAACCCCATCAGGGATCGAATCTGGGGCCTTTAACCTACAAGGAGAGCTCGTTGACCATTCAGCCACTAGCTCAGAATTCAATAGCTCACCAATTCTAACTCCAGTTCACGGCCGCCAACCACTGTCATCGGCGAGTGCTTGTCCATAAAACCGGATTGGTGGACTCGGCTAGTCATAGCTTCCTGGTGGGTCCACGAGTGCGTACTGATAAGAAGTCTCAAACAGGGATGAAAATGCTGTTCAGCGATTCCTAGTTTTCACTAGTTCTCTGATTGAAGTCAGTTAGTGATCAGTCAAATTTCTGCAAACAAGCACTTGAAAATTCAATATTTTGTTTGTGTTTATCTCCTACTAGCTGGAAAAGAAATGTGAAGAAATGAAAAACCAGGTGAATCAAATTATTGAAGAGAAAGAAGAACAAGCGGAGATTTTAAAAGAGAAATTAAAACAGGTAAGCAGGACTTACACCTAATTCTAATTTTTTCTCGACAGTATCGTATTCAAATGTCAGTTTCAGAAATTATAGAGAGGAGAAATGAATTTAGTACTGAACTTGGATCAAAATTTGACAAAAAATATCAACTGAATATTAAGACAACATAATTCTAACGTGTGACCTGTTAATCTTCCCTGAGAATCTTCAAAAAATGACTGAAATGAAAAAATCACAGGTGTGAAAATGTGGTCAAAATCTGTTTTCAGTCAGCTTGACTAAATAAAGTTTGATGTCCAAGTGTTGGCTTGCAGGGATTTGATTGGTTTCAAGTTTGATCATGAACTGACTTCGGCTAGAGAAAGACTGAAAACGGCGGACTACTGGGTAGCTGTTTCACCCCTGTTTGGGACTTTTCAGCAGCACACACTGATGAATCCTCCAGGGATTGAACCTAGAACCTTCACGTTTCAAGGTTTCCATGAAAATATAATCCCTATTAATTCAGAGTTTATGATGAACGATATGCTGTGTGTGTGCCTGTGTACGTACTGCACATCATCAAATAAGCGTATTGAACAGAAGGTCAGGTTGTGTGAACATGAATCTTTTTTAACGTAATATATGTTAGTTATATAAAAGCGAACTGATGAATTCACCTGTTAATAATATTAATTTTGTCTACCTCTATCACACCTTGTCCTTCTGTATGATATACGACATTTCCACAGAACTCAGAATATATCAAATTTAATTGCCTCGTTTGTATGGAATGAAGTACAGTAGCATTACTTACATTTCGATAGTGTTAATAAAAGTCAGAGTGTCCCTAAAAATGCGATGTGTCTGCATGATAAACTTCGAAAAATCCGATTACTCATTGATGAATTCCATTTATGTGAAAAATGAAGAAAGGAAAAGTTGAGTTGCCTAACAACAGGGAAATAAATAGCATGATTTTAAGACATAGACTAAATTCTGTCAGGCAGTTTATAATTATCGAAGAAGCCAAAAACATGATCTATGACAAGTCTCAACATTTCACAACTGATTGCATCATATCCCATATTGCGTGTTTGAATGTATATGCATAGGCAAGAGTAATCACGTCTTGTACATGAAGACGGAAGAACATGTAGCCGAATGGCTTTAAAAACGACTGAACTGCAAAAAGTCACTGCAAAACACGAATGACAGACTACGAACCTTGTCTATACCGAAACACATTATTGATATGGATCATAAGATTGATATCAAAACAACTTTCAGGTTTCGTCGATGAAAACAGAAGGTGGCACATAATATAGTATATCAGGCGATAGCCAACCACAATACTAAGCCTCTCTATATGTACAAAAACAACTTATTGTTATCCTTAACCCGCCTTAGTAATTCTCATCCGATTATATTACCAAACAAGGTGACTCAACATTGTGTTGCACTCTAAAATGATATTAGATAGTTATTAACTAGCTTTCTGATAAGATGCATACGTGTATTTTCCCTCATAAGTTTATACAGGTAATATGAATAGAAACTGAAGGGTGAAATGATTTAATTATCTCTGTTTTTACTAGAATCCTCTTAGCTGGATATAGCCTAATTGATTGAAACAAGGCATACAAGCGAAAAATACTGTTTTCAATTAGGCCTTTCTCTAATATACATGCCTTTATGCATCTAAAATGTTAACCGACAATATTAAATTTGTGGTTGAAATATGAATGTTAAGCATTGTAAATATCGCATTATTAATAGTAATGTCAATGGTAGCAAGAGTACAATTAGTTGATGCAGGTAGCGATAAGAATAGTGAGGATAGCACATCAATGTAGACATTTTAGTAAATGAATAAGGCCAAAATAGGATAAAATTAAATGTTACGTAATGCTGAAGATAAAGGGAAGAGTCCAAATATAATGATAAATATATGAAAAGGGGTGAGAAGTTTTGGTTGGTTGACTGTATTTACATAGGCCAAGAGAGAGGCAAAGGTACAGTAGAAATCTTGTAGATGCAAAGACTAGGGTTATACTTTCGAATTCTCAAAGCTTCTGCTGAGTGTACTTGACGAGTTTGAATTCCATTCTAAGGGTTTGATGGAGTAAGATAGTTAACTAGGAAGGCACTTCTTCTGTGTACTTGGTAACCACTATCAGTCAAATGTTATAAAGCTGATCTTCTTACAGATTTCGTTTGACGTTTTCTGATTCATAAAGGAAGCTGATCATTTATTCATCCTATGTAGCTTTCTTCACAGGACTGGCCAAATAATAACAATAGCATCATTCACTTATCTGAGTACAATGAAGAATGGAAAACTTAATAGCAACGTCTCATCTATTTAATTTAATTAGACACAAATGTATATTAGTAAAATCATGGGACTGGTATGTAGTTAAATGAAAAGCTGTGCACTGAAGAGATTACAGAGTTGGTGAAAACTGTTACGTTTACAAGCTTGAAATAGAGGAGAATCATTGGGAAGCAGAAATGCTACAATGTAGGGAGTTACAAAAAAATTTTGGCGATTTTGTAGGAAGATAACTCAGTAGAAAGATATTAAAACGATGATTATAATATCTGATTAATGATACAAGTTAGGTTGCATTTGTTTGGTTGATGTAGCTTCTTCAAACCAAGGCTTAGTGAATTCTCTATGGTGAGCGTATAAAAAACTTTTCATAGATCAGTTCTCTGAAGTACATCAAACACTTCACATATAACTGCACTCGTAACGCGAACATGAACCTTAATACTAAAATTACTTGGTAATTGGTCAAGTATGTGAGTGAATAACCATCTGTTTATTGTTGCCTATAGTTGCTACTGTATGCAAACACAAACTGGTACATAGTATCGAAGGTGCTAATGGCTCATATCCTACCCAATTTAATCCTATTGACATAACTTTAGTAATGTTGATACTGGGAATTTGTTAGACACAGCAATGTTAGTTCGTCTGTTAAACATTCTTGCAATATCGTCACCAACATAACAAAGTATGTAAAAGATCGAATCCTCTTTGAATTTACTGTAGCTTCTGTTATTCTGAAAATAATTTCCAATGAATTTTAAGATATATAAGGTGTCAACGTAACCGAATTGGAGAAATGGCATTTAGGCTGAAAGAACTTCTGCAGGTCCTAACTTATCTACTGTTTGATTCAGTAGATTCCAATGAATTTTCTTGCAGATGTTTGATCGAATCAAATAAGAATTCATAAACTAACTGTTTCATAGAGTGAATAATTCATTAAGCTCTAAAGTCTTCTTTGATGCAAATGTCTATAAAGTTTGGTCAGTCTGTCTCATTCAACTGAAGAAATGAACTTTGTATTAACATAAGCATTATTTAAGAGTTTCCGCGTGTTTAATTTTTAATTAAGACAACTGCATACGATGGTGTTGTCCACAATAATAAAAAAATGCATGTATGTCACTGGTTTTGGTATATTTTTCTAGGTGTTCAGTAGAATGTGAACAAGTCCTAGTTGGTCTAGTCCTTCTGTGACTAGTACTTAGATTATCTAAACATTAACTTCACCTAGTTTTGACTGTCATCGAATCACTGTCTCACAGTCAAAGTTTTTTATAATAAAAATCTTAGGCTAATTAATGAGTAACTTTGTGGCACACCAACGACAAACTTCTCTGTACTAGCACTAGACCATTTATATTATCAATTCATGTAGTTTGTTGTACAAGATGTATTTGTCTTTACACACTGTTGATGGATAGATTGAATGAGATAGTTTTGAGTCGGTAGACTTTTATTGGTGTGAAGAGTGGCGATTTCAGATAAAATGAAAATCTGAGCCTAGGCAAGATCCAAACCAGCTGCTTCGAAATTACTAGTCTCCCTGTGCAGCATCCAAACTACGAGACAGTATGTAATAATATGGATTTTCGAAAAACATTTACTGCTTACATTCTCAAAATGGTTAACGACATATTCGATCAGTTAGCGAAACGAGACACAGAAATGCGAAAATGTTTGAAGATTACCATTAAGATGTACGATGATTAGTTCTTTTCATGTTTTTCTATGAATTTTATAGATGGATAGATGAGGCTGGTTCAATTTTAGCTGATGTATTCTTGAGGAAACTTGAAACTAGCCCATTTAGGAGTACAGCTTATAAGTTACATTTTCATTACTGATGTGTAGATAAAACCGTCATCATGTGTGTTGTGTGTGTGTGACAGAGATGATCAGAAATGATCTATTTATGCTGCAACTGAAGTCTTCGCTACCTAATCGGATTTCAAAATAGATAAACAGACACAGCTTGCATTATCTACTGTATTCACTCACTTTCCGTGGATTTGTAATTGTATTGAATGTAACTGCCATTTGTCACTGCCTTGTTTTATAATTATATTAAAAAAGGTTAAGTAATTGACGACTGAGACAGGAAGGTTAAATTCAGACTTCGACCTTGTTTATACACCTTTAATATTTTGATTTAAATTGTGCTCCTGAAGATTTTCGGACAAAACTGTCCAAATGTATCACCGAGCACTTACCAAAATGGTTTTACAAAGGAGAAAATCGATGCCCCCGCAGTTCCATCTTAGAACATCTTATAGAATCCGGACACCAAGCTACACCGCAAACAAACTTCAAAATCGTCTACAGAGTAAGAAGTAGTCTCCCTAAAGGTGTACGAATCAGACTTCTTCAAACTGCAGAAGCAATGGCGATCCACTTGCTAAGTCCTGAACTCTGCATACAGAAGAAGTTCGTTCAATCACTACACTTACAATGGACGTAATCTATCTTATTAGCCGACAAGTAAATTTTACCTAATCTTTTCTTCTGTCTCTTCATTAGTATTATTTTGCCTTCTCAATTGTAACATTTTACATTTTCAACTTTCTTGTTCTCTACCCCCACCCGATTCAATTTCTACACCTCACTACCACTGTTACTGACTTGAACAACGCTCAGTTTCTAGTCATTTATGTTACGTCATCCAACTTATTTACTCAATTTCACTTCTACTTAATCTCTACCTGTAATTACCTCTGTTGCTATCCTGACCTAAGTTGTAACATTTTAGTCAGTTATATTACGTCATCTAGCTTACTAACTCAATCTTACTTTAGTTGCTGTCTGATTAACTTTGTCTCTATACTTACATCATTCTTGTATTAACTAATCAATTATCTAAACTTGACAAACCTCATGTACACACACATACAAATAATTATATATAAATGCGATTGTACAGCTATGTGAATGAATTCGCCGAAAAGAGTCTCTTCGCTGAATGTCTTCTCTTTTTCAAAACTGTCCTTTCAAATGCAGGACCTATACTATTTAAAACATATAGATATTATTGATGTCAGCTTCAGAAAGAGCTTCTAAGTCACTGGCAAACTAAACTAGAAGACAAAATCATTTAATACACGTCACTGAACAAGTGAAGCTTAATATTACTCGATACAGTGGCAGAAATTAGTTCTTTTCTTCTATGCTTAAGTAGACTTGTTCAAAGTAGCATTCACAATTTATCTCCAATGTGGAAGCACTATTGTACTGAATGTTCAAACAGCAAGCTTTTAAATGATAGAAGTCTGGTGAATTTGAATTTCACAATTCATCATCAAAACCAATTTCAGTAATCTAAAAGAAGTCACCCTTTTGACTACAGGAGGCATGAATCACGCTGTCAAAGCCGGACGTGGAAAAGTAAGACAGGTATCCATTACTCTGAAATCGGTGTGGAAATCTACAGAACACACTACAAGAAACAGAATGCAATTTTTAAACACTCACTTTACGTGGATTTATAATTGTATTGAATGTAACTGCCATTCGTCACTGCCTTGTTTTATAATTATATTAATAAAGGTTAAGTAATTGACGACTGAGACAGGAAGGTTAAATTCAGACTTCGACCTTGTTTATACACCTTTAATATTTTGATTTAAATTGTGCTCCTGAAGATTTTCGGACAAAACTGTCCAAATGTATCACCGAGCACTTACCAAAATGGTTTTACAAAGGAGAAAATCGATGCCCCCGCAGTTCCATCTTAGAACATCTTATAGAATCCGGACACCAAGCTACACCGCAAACAAACTTCAAAATCGTCTACAGAGTAAGAAGTAGTCTCCCTAAAGGTGTACGAATCAGACTTCTTCAAACTGCAGAAGCAATGGCGATCCACTTGCTAAGTCCTGAACTCTGCATACAGAAGAAGTTCGTTCAATCACTACACTTACAATGGACGTAATCTATCTTATTAGCCGACAAGTAAATTTTACCTAATCTTTTCTTCTGTCTCTTCATTAGTATTATTTTGCCTTCTCAATTGTAACATTTTACATTTTCAACTTTCTTGTTCTCTACCCCCACCCGATTCAATTTCTACACCTCACTACCACTGTTACTGACTTGAACAACGCTCAGTTTCTAGTCATTTATGTTACGTCATCCAACTTATTTACTCAATTTCACTTCTACTTAATCTCTACCTGTAATTACCTCTGTTGCTATCCTGACCTAAGTTGTAACATTTTAGTCAGTTATATTACGTCATCTAGCTTACTAACTCAATCTTACTTTAGTTGCTGTCTGATTAACTTTGTCTCTATACTTACATCATTCTTGTATTAACTAATCAATTATCTAAACTTGACAAACCTCATGTACACACACATACAAATAATTATATATAAATGCGATTGTACAGCTATGTGAATGAATTCGCCGAAAAGAGTCTCTTCGCTGAATGTCTTCTCTTTTTCAAAACTGTCCTTTCAAATGCAGGACCTATACTATTTAAAACATATAGATATTATTGATGTCAGCTTCAGAAAGAGCTTCTAAGTCACTGGCAAACTAAACTAGAAGACAAAATCATTTAATACACGTCACTGAACAAGTGAAGCTTAATATTACTCGATACAGTGGCAGAAATTAGTTCTTTTCTTCTATGCTTAAGTAGACTTGTTCAAAGTAGCATTCACAATTTATCTCCAATGTGGAAGCACTATTGTACTGAATGTTCAAACAGCAAGCTTTTAAATGATAGAAGTCTGGTGAATTTGAATTTCACAATTCATCATCAAAACCAATTTCAGTAATCTAAAAGAAGTCACCCTTTTGACTACAGGAGGCATGAATCACGCTGTCAAAGCCGGACGTGGAAAAGTAAGACAGGTATCCATTACTCTGAAATCGGTGTGGAAATCTACAGAACACACTACAAGAAACAGAATGCAATTTTTAGACAGTAATGTCGATTCACTGCTTCTTTCACTGCTCAGATATTTGGTGCATCACGAAAAGTATTTTGCAACAGGCTAATGAGGACTTCCATCAACAGCTATGTTCAATCCACACTGAAGATTAGATTAACGACAAGGAACTCCGGGAACAAGGCAACCAAGAACGTATCGCCTAACATATATGTCGGAGAAAAATGGAGGTGGAGTGGAAATAAGCTGTGGAGATAGTTGAGCGACACCAAACTACAGGCCCACAAGCGGGACCCGAATGGGAGGTGAGTGACGCGTTGTCCGTGCGAGGGTGACATGGAGGGGACCATATGCAGAGTAAATGAGAGACTGTGGGAGATTTTAGAGCCATCTAAAAAACAGAGCAGCGAATCTAGAGACAAATAATATTATTGATAATCAAATTACTTTACTGAATATTTTTCTAGATATTCAGTTTTAATTCATTTTCTTCTCTAATAGATTTGTTACTTAAATTTTAAAAGTAACATTGCAGTTTTATGTACACGATCCATTCATCGCAATGCAGTGTAATCATATTGGTCATCGTATTTACTCGCATATATGGATTTCTTCTTTAAACTTGACTTCATGAAGGTATATACTACTTAAGTAGATATAATACTGAATGCGCCGCATTGTAATTTCTAAATGTCATTGTTCATATTACATCTGAGTGAGCATCAAACATCCTGTTGCATCATCATCTGACACTGAATCTGCCAGTAGTGGCTCGCGTAAATAAATCAGATCCATACAGTCTTGTAGGTGGGTGGTTCAGTGGTAGAATGCTTGCAAAACTATGTGCGTGGTCCGAGCTTGACTGCCGGTCGACGTACTTCTGAACCTCACTTAGCCTGTAGTAAGTTCGGTAAGAAGGAAAGTTTAGGAGTGAGACTAGCAATCGCATCCCGTCGAAATAGCACCACTTATATCGAAGCTTGAAAGCTCATGCTTGTAGCCCCATGTTACGATCGGAACCCAAAGGAGTCGGAAAAAAAAGAAAAATACAGTTTTGTTGGTAAAGTATTATAATGAATAAGTAATTAGAAAATTTTATAGCAAGCTATTTTCATTCATTACAGCTGGACAAGAACACTGACATAAGCCGACTTCCTATTTGAAACCACGACTACAAATCTAGAGATTTCGTTACATGAATATTACAGTTATTGTTCCTCGTGAAAATGTCTGGTGAAATCACTTTTGACAAGCTAATAAAACAATCAGATATATCTTATTTATACTTGTACATGAAGGTGCCTGAGGTAGATAAGACTCGTGTGTAATCAGTTTGAACTTATTGTCACAATAAATTGTTACGTTAGAAAGGAATCGATTGTAGTTTTCCTTGACGAACAGCACTGCTTGTAAAGCTGTCGCATGGGATAAATACTTTTTGAATGTTTTTTAAATCATCTTTACCTTTCCAGATGTCCATGCTATCAGAAGATCTACAGAAGGAAACAGAAGATGATAAATCTACTATGGAAGAGGCAAGAACGCAGTGTCAAAGTATGCTAGATGAAATAGAAGAATATGAAGTAAGAGGATTACTCCAAATTTATTATTATTCTCAATCTAAACAAAAACAAAAGAATATATTACCTTGCATGCCTGTGTAGAGTTTCACTTTGATAACTTTTTTCACTCATTCTTAGAATAATGTTGCTATTTATTGTCGCTGAGATCCTCTGAGACAGACTTACTAGGAAGACTGATTTCATCTAAGAGAAGTGAAAAAAAGATAAAAACCACGTTTTTTTATTGAATTCAAGTGGTTTCTAAAAGAAATAGTAAAACTTTTCAAAATAATCTCTAGTATTTGATTTATACACTTAGACTTGCTTACAAGTGTGCTGTTCATTTTTTAGAGATAATCACTAGATTTTTTGTGTTGTACAGGCGAAGGAGATTATCGAAAATTGACAGCTTAAGAGGATCAGAGTGGGACTGTGTGCATCCGTAGGATGTGTGCTCAAACATGTGCTGTAAAACAAACATTTTGACCGTACTAAAGTTGATTCAGGTTAGCATATAACAATTGTAGCTTCCAGTCACAGGTTGAAATATTCCACCAACTACACCTTTATCAAAGGTCAATAAAAAATATCTGGATTTTTCGACTATTTTTAATTCGTTACATGAAACAATGACTTCAGATACAGGTTTCTGTCAGTCTTACAAACTATATTATATTTTATACACCAAAGTTTACAATTAAATTTACTAGGGATATTCCATTACTTTTGTTGACAGTTTCATTTCAAGCAACAATCGGTTTTTGATAGTTTGGTTTTACATTGTTAATAAGTGGCAGCGCCTATACAAATGATTTTCTATAGAAATTTAGTTATTTGCATAAAAGTATTAATTAATGAAGGATTATTACGCAGAGACTAATCTTTGATACAGCAGATTTGAAGCAAATGGAAATGGATAAGTTGCTGCCTTTTAAACATATATTTGCAATGCAGAACAAACGGCGTAAATATGTTGTGACACTTTTTACAACACGACAATGAATCTTTCAGCTTGATGACCACATTATTAACTTGATCTATAGGATTAGTCAGCACTAAGGACTAGCTACAATAGATTAGCTGCTCAACGTACTTTGCACTCAAACGGAGGTTAACGGATATAACATGTTTGGGCAATAACACAAGAACCATATCATTTTACCCAACCAACGACTACTGGTTTTTAATAAAGGGTTCTGTTTCGATCCGCTTAAACTCCACAGAGATATAAAAAAATTTAGGTCGATTATGAATCGTCAGTCAATTCTGAAGGTGGATTGACAGTTTTGAAACAGCTGGTCGAAAGCTTTCTCTTTCTCTCTCTTTCTATATATATATATATATATATATATATATATATATGTAAATCACTGCATGGTTCAACACAGCTATTTAGTTCTGCAATTGTTTTGTTATTTGTTGACCGCATTTTCATAATTTTCTGTCAGTCAAATGTAATCTGGATTACAGTAATCCCACGAAACTAAAAATCTGATCTTAAAACAGTGGTGATGAAAAGGCAATAGGTTATACATCAGTAGGCTGTAAGTATTCTTAAGATTTTGTTAAATTAGAAATTGAAAGAATTTTCAGGATTTTTTTCAATTATTCTTCTATAATACGATAACCACAATTAACAAGCATCACATCTGCAAAAATAAATAAAATGTTCATGGATTACCGAGGTGTTTAAGTTGATGTTGTGTCTTCCAATGATTGATTGCATTAAGCCGGAATGTCTGATCTCTACTGTCATATCAGTTCCTAGTACGGACTCTTTGAAGATGTCTGAGGATTAACATGATGTTATTTGGTGGAAGATGACTGGCAAGGGAATCCAGGAAGCGAATTTTGTCCTATTTGTGAAGTTTGAAAGCATGAGTTCAGAGTTCGAATTTCAGTGGGAACACCATTACTCACTGGAGATTGCAGGTACATCCAGACGACGAGTTCCAAAGAGCATCCTCGATTCTGCTGCTAGTTGCCAACCACTAAACAACATCATATTAATTACTGAGATATTTTCTTTGTATAACAATGAAATGAATGTTTAACTGACTTTCAGCACCTGTCAAAGGCATAAGCTCATTAGTCACTTACTTGCTTCATCTATTTCACCCTTTAAAAGTAGAGGTAACTTTAAAGATCATGAGTGCTACTCACCGTTTCAGTGTATTTTTTAATAATGAGTTAACAATAAACAGTTTGTTCAGGTTTGAAATGGTTCCACCTTATGTTATTGCATTTCTATATGAAATTTGAACCAGTAGGCCTTGTTTATTTCCCAGCTTCTGATATGTTATGTACCATAATCACTTTTGAATGCTATCCGATATTAAAATGACAATAACAATGAAGATGATTACACACTACTCCATAATATTAAGTCACCAGTAAACAGCTTCATATAACAATTCAGAATACTTTATATAGCTTAGCTTCGGAAAAAACACTTGAAGGTAATTTAAAAAATGTAAGCCTAAGTAGTCTAAAAATCTACTTAAGTCATATCATCAAAAAAGCCTACTTGCCAAGTTAATCTGATTAAGTGCACTGAGTTGTATACTAGTTATTCCTGCTAAAACAAGGCATATATATATTTCTGTCAGAAAAAGAGAAGAAAGAAATTTGTCTAAGGATTAGGCTTGTAGATAACAACAGAATTACTAGAGACATATTAATGAATAAACAGACGAAAGTACGGTTCCAGTCATTTCTTTCAATGTAACTACGGTATAAAAGATTTTATAGGCTCCTTGTATAATAGGACTGTTACGAAAAATATACACGGAAATGGAAAAAAATTTCACCCTAGTTTCAACATAATGTTCTTGATAATGAAGATTTTCTTTGCTTTAACTAGTGTGATATCCTGTCAAGTACTCAGTAGTCTTTAATGGTTCTTTTTAACAATTTCAGTTTGTGATCTCACTTGAAACCAATCAAATACCTGCACACTACTACTTAAAAACTAATTTAATGCTCATTAGTGATTGACTACAAGATGAAGTTACCCTGAGTTATAGTGAGAAGTCATTACTGATAAGTGTACCAAGTTGTATGTGAGGATAAATACTGGCCAATAACATTGCCCGGCGGTGGCGGTATATATAGCAAACTGGCGTGAGGTAGAATTCATGTGCTATTGGATTCCTTCCAACCAGCTGGTGTCGTAATCTGTCGTTCATGGACTAGGATGAAACAGCTTTCCAGTACTACCTGGTTTTTAGTGGCCCTCTAATAGACACCACGTAGTGATCCAACTTAGTATAACAGAACCTTCGTCAGTTGTAAGCCAGTGACTAATGACTCAGTTTCTTTAAATTTTTAAGGTTTATTTGATTATATGTTTAAGAAACAGATTTAAAAGGTTATGATCATTAAGAAGGGATTATATTTATTAGAAGTAAATTCTCCATTTGCAAATTACACAGATGCATATTGAAGTTCAGACCTGCATGGCAGCCTAAATATTTTCGATTTCAAAAGCAAACCATGGTGAATTTGCATCTATATAAATTGAAAGTGACGAAGTTTACTCTGTGTATTGTTTGCCCAAGTAGCTGACCAGAACTCAGGTGGTCTAAATTGATTTGGCTGTTTAAGCTGAATCGAAGCAATCACGCCAATGATCATATCAGAGTCAAAAGAACTAAACGGCTGTCTCGGGTTTAGATGATTTAGATTTAGCAAGCAAGCACTACTTGCTTGGTGGTATCCATCTACTCGTTTCAACCAGTATTATTATTATTGTTCCCTTGGGTTCCTAGTGGAACATAGGGCTTCAACTGCACGTCTCCACTTGCTTCTGTCTTCTGCTGTACTTTTCACCTGCATCCATGTTAGTCCATACTGTTTCAGCTCCTCTTCACACGATCTCCTCCATGTCACCCTTGGACGTCCCACTCGCCGCTTCCCTTTCGGGTTCCACTCGAGCTATGGCCTGACGCGCGATGTCACCCAGCGGCCTCCTCAGCGAGTGTCCAATCCATCTCCACTTTCTCCTGCATATTTGTTGGGCGATTGGTTCTTGTTTTGTTTGTTCCCATAGTTTCTTGTTGGTGATTCTTTCCGGCCATCTGATCTTCAGTATAGAACGAAGACAGTTGTTGATAAAGGTCTGCAACAGGCTGTTGGAAATATTCTTTGTGACTCGCCAAGTTTCTCATCCGTATAGCAAAACTGACTTGACGTTTGTATTGAAAATCCGAATTTTGTTGTTGATGCTGAGTGACGAAGATTTCCAGATTGGTTTCAGGTTGATGAATGTGTTTCTCGCCTTCCCGATTCTCGATTTGACATCCTCGTCTGTTCCTCCTGTAGTTGAGACAATGCTCCCTAGATAAGTGAATGAAGTAACCTCTTTCAAATCCCTCCCGTTGATGGTGATTGGCGCTGGATGTTGCTGCTGCTGTTGTTGTTGTTGGTTGGTTATTTTCATAACCTCCGTCTTGTCTATGTTCACCTGGAGTCCTGTCTTCACCGGCTGCTTCTTCGACCAGTTTGTCGGTTTTCGCTTGTAAGTCTTCGATCTTGTGTGACATCAAACATAAATCATCTGCGAAATCTAGGTCTTCTAGGTTCTTCACGTCGGTCCAGGATATCCCTGTCTTCTCGTTTCCCACTGTCTGACGCATAATCCAGTCCACCACAATTAGGAATATCATTGGTGATAATAGGCACCCTTGTCTGACTCCTGTGTTTACTCCAAACGCCTCGCTGAGTTTTCCGTTGTGGATCACTTGACATGTGCCGTTGTCAACCAGTAGTACATGCGATATTGCTGTGAAATCATTCATTCTTTAGAAATATATTCATATTGTTATTATACAAATGGAAATATGCGTAGCCAGTTTACTTGAGCTTCAGAGCATGTAACATTTGGTCGAAATTTTCAAAACTACGGCATAATTAAATTCATTTATAATCGATACGAATAATTCACCCTATTGTGGATATAAAAATCATTTTTCTCTGAAATTAATAGATAATCAGATGAAAAATCACTATGAAGTAAGGGTAGTCAACATGTTATACAAATTCAAATGCCAAGGTCAAGCTAGAAGATAAACAAAATAATTGCGTGTATTTTACTGCTGGCAAGTATAAAGGGAAAATATCACACTTATATTGAACAACATACTTCAAAGTACATGAGTTTCTCTGAAGACTTTTCACACATCATAGTGATTATATTGTTTTAGCTACTGGATATCAGGAATCAATTTATAAGTGTGCATTCCTAGTTCGAAATGAAACCCAAACTTAATATGAAAGTAGAATTTGGGCATTGTGATAGAGTATAATTCCGTATTAGATAAGTTTACTTGATAATAACACACAGTGATACAGTATTGATAACTGAGTGGTGTTTCGAGCACAATTTATTGTTCATAATCATATTAATGTATTAACACGACTTCGTAATTTGCCTTATTTATTTCCTCTTTCCTCCTTGTTGTTTATCGCAGTTTTCCGTATCTCCGGTTGGCGTTAACCTAATGAACAAACTTTATATTACTATATGTATTTACTATATCACTTTTTAAGAGTTCCTGCCTATCCCACCTTATTGTATGATTTAAAAAAAATTTTATTATAGCTTGATTCCACACCGTATTTTGGTACTAGTATGAAATTTTCAGCATGTGATATCGGTAGCCGAAATTTAGCAGGCCGACCATAGTATCAGATGTGCGTCGGGATGGATCGAACCTCAGACCATGTGCATGGTCGGCGGATGCACTGCAATGACTGAGATTGTTTTCTAGGTTATTTAACTTAGCATGGTCAACTAATCTAACTCTAGCTAAATTCCTATGTCCCGATAATCAGAACTATTTAGTTACAGCTTTTCAACTTCATTCAATTTATATAGTGTGCTTTCAATGAGGGTCCATAACTCCGTCCCTAAATAAGCAACAGTTGTCTACTATCATAAAAATAAAAGTTGTATTGAAGTACACCTTAAGAGTCATGGCTTGTGGCGAACTGCTTCCGGTCAGCTTACACCAAGTGTTATAGAAAAGGTGAATCTATCCTTCAGTATACTTTTAGCTATCCCCATCAAGTACCTTTGTGAAATTTAGTAGTTATACTCCGACTTATCTATATTGATTTAGGAAACAAGTTTATTGGGAAGCAAATAATATCATTCAGGTAATTATATGCAAACAACATTTAACTGAAGGTGAAACATGAAACTAAGTTGAATAGTATAAAGTCATCTTTAAAATATGGTTAGAAAAAACACAGTAAAAAGCTGGTAGATAAAGATTAATTTTCATAGCCTATGCACAAAAATAGTATCAGCTGACTGAAGAATAGTGGTGCTAAGTGTGTCTCAATATAAAAAAAGATGGAACTTGTCAATCGTCTTGAGATAACATCGTACCTACTAGTCACAGAGCACTAGTGAATTGAAACAATCTATAATAAATCTAAAATACTAGACGGCATACTTGAAATTGGCAAATCTAAGGTAATTGGTAAAAAAAAGCTTGATTGAAAAGAGGTACAGGATAATCGGAGCGTTGATGAGTTGCTGTTTACCATTATATGTTGTATGCTGAGACAATAACTTAAATTAACTCTTGAAAATTAATCTGATACTGGCTAGCGACCGAGGTTGCCATCGAGTTCTAGTGAGAATTTGTGATCAGTGAAATTCACCAGGTTGGGTGGTAGAACAAATACTGACCCATAACACTGGCTGGCGGTCACGCTATAGTCGCTAACTGATAGGTGTTAGAATTCACTGATCATCGAATTCCAGCCTAAGTGGCTGAATGGTCAACGAGCTTTCTGCCAATTGCCTCCAACTATCTAATATCATCAAATCAATGTGCACCGTGATGGCGAGCTACCTAGAATGGTGGCTACATTGCAGACCTGACTGATAGAATTCAGTCTGCACCAAAGAAAGGACTAGACACATTACACTAGTTACTAGTGTCCAGTCCAAATACCCACTACAGTCCTACAGGAGGTCAATTGCGAGCCCTAATAGCTCAGTGGTAACGTCTCTGACTGCAGCACTGAGTGACGCGGGTTCGAATCTCAGAAGGGACATGAGTTCCTTCAAGGTGGTTGCAGATACGCCTTGCTGACGAATGCCAACTAGCACGTATATATATATATATATATATATATATGAAAAAAAGTTACTTTATATTTGCAGTTTGTAAATCACATGGTTGGAGGTGAAAATTCACTACAGTTTCCTTAAGAAACCCAAAACATTTAGATCCTATTATGCGATCTGTTTAATATCCTAAATGGTAATCAAGAAAATAAGCAAAACTGTATCATGTTATGCACTTTTATGTTTCTGTCACTTGCTTTTGGTTGGCAGGCTGTACTGTTTGATACGAGTAGTTTCCACTTACCCATATCAGTCACTAGTGAGTACCAAACACTTCGCTCTAATCTAATCAATCATCAGGAAATATACAATTAATTTAAACACAGAATGGCAGAATATTGAAATGAAGGATTGGATTTGTAGCTCAGGTATTTATTTACTGAGCTAGATGGTTTAATTGGTAAATGACTGATAGACTACTGTAATTTGTTAGCTAGTATGGCGCCGAACACAATGTCTTGAATCCATACTATGAAAGCTAAAATGTTCGGCAGCTAAAGAAGCCAGAGCCGACAATATCTATAAGATAGACTACATCAACTGCGAATATATATATATATATATATATTGGCCTAAGCGGACGTCCTGCCCAACTTTGCATTCATGAACACTAACTAATAGTCAGAATACCCGATATATATACACACAGACTGTTATAGACACTAGTTCAACTTCAAAAATGTGAAAATTTTATACAAAGAGCATACAAAGAATGCCAGGGTATTCTCAAAGGCCGTACATAACACATATACGGGTATTGATCACATTTTTTCACGTAATAAAGGAATAGTCATATTATCGTAGGTCTAAGTTCATAGGATCAGTGAAATAGTCGATATCAGATGGATGCAATCGTAAGAAAACACCAAAGAAAGTTAATCCCAGTCAAGGTTACCAGCAAAAAGACGGATATTTTATCTGTAGAGAATTCTGAGAGCTCACTCCATGTGAAACTAGCTCTGTAGGTATTGCCTAGAAAGCTACGAAATCGAATCATACATCTGTTAGAATACAACAATTTTAAATTGTGGGATTTCATTTCTTAGCAAAGATTAGGGGAGAAAATCTGCAGCCTTATTTGGTTTTAGCTTTTACAGCATACATTGGTAAATAGTTATTCAGAACTTTTGTGAATTACTTTATGTTCACGAAAGTTAAACCGATTACTCTTCTATTAGAAATTTGTCAAAACAAACCATACATTATATCAGTTATCTCATTACTGAGACAAGTAATTGAATTCTAGCGCTTTCGCGTGTGTATGTATATGCTTCCTGGGTCTAGAGAGAACTTTTACAGTTCTAAATGCTTGAGCATTTCCAGTCAGGATAGTAAATAATTGCGACTATTACTGAAAGGTGCCTTTTAACTTTTACCTAGACTAAGTAGGCTTTTCTCTGTATTTTGGAGAAATCAAATTAGTCAGCTTGTGTTAATACAGCAGCTTAGTATGGAGGCAATTTACTTCACTCCCATATTTAATTATATTTCTATTTTTTCACTGCAAGTTAACATCGAAACATGGGGAATATGCTCTCCTTCATTTAAAATTCGTCACCTTTGTGCATCCATATACTAAAAATCTTTGGTGTTTTTGCTGATATGTCAGTCATATTAACCTAAATTAACAGATTAATCACTATAAAATTGTTTGAATTAAATAATAATAGGTATATCTGTCTACTGACGTTTAGTTGTCAAGTAGCATCGGTAAGATTTATGTTTTACTTTCAGTGGGTATGTCAACTTTCACTGTAAGGTGAATAGCTTCTTCTGACAGGATAGAGACAGGAGTATATATATGTATATATATATATATCAATCTTAAGGTCGAACAAAATAGTATGAAAAGCATGAATGACACATTTCGAAACATTTGTTCCTATAGGCAGAAGCGTGTAATACAAATATGTCAACATTTGTAATATCCTCTTTTGCATAAACTATGCTTTCATACATTAAGAACGTGTTATGCTTCCTAGCAAAAAAAAACAGACTGTAATTTGACTGCGGACATTTAACACATATTAAACTGAATGTATTCAATCAGTTGTATTTCTTAGCTTTTAACATAATCACCCCACTACAAAGTAAAGGTGAAAACATTTCGATTAGAATATGTTAACCTGTCTACAATATTTGTCACAAATGATATCAGTCACTTCGATTCTTACATATTTTCACTTTAATTACGATAATGAATGTTGACGTGTTCTCCTTTTTGAAAAGCAATTAATCGATGAGAGCAAAGAAAGCGTCAAAGAACTACAAATGCAAACGAAAGTCGAGCATTTAAAGAAGGATAAGCAAGATGTCAGTACATGTCAGAAAATTCAAGAAGAAAGGGAAGCTTTAATAAAGAAATTAAATGAAATAAGGTTAGTGTCAATTAATATTTATTTGAATGTGTTAAAGTTAATATTACACATTTTTGACTGTAGAAAATGATACATTAGTTAGTGTAGAAGGTCATAAAGTTTGATGGAATGGATGACAGATAAAAACAACGAACCCAAAATATATTGACAACTATTCATTAAGGGATGAAAGACTGTCACTAAAATTTATAAGATAAAAAAAGATGCTCACTATTAACTGACTATAGGATGAGGTAGCCTGGAGGTCTAGGGAGAAGTCGTGACCAGTGGAATCTAGCTGGTTGGATGTGAGGAAAAATACTCGTTGATGACATCGGTTGTTAGTGGCGCGAAATGACAAAAGTTAGAATTGGTGGGACACTGGACCTGGTCCGAGTGACTCGTTGCAGTCTGAAATTCCTGAACTAGGCCTCCGGTGGGGGTGACTAATGCGTGTTGATAATGACTCCCAAACTGAGGGGAAACAGCTACCCCGCATTTCATGGTTTTCAATGGTTCTCTAACTGATATCAATCCTTAATCAAACCTGAAGCCAATCAAATTCTCACAAGCTAACTGTTGAACAACATAGAGTATAATTTTTTTGAAATATATAAAACTGATGAAACAGAAAAATTCAAAAGCGAGTTTTCCAGCTGAGTTATGGGAACTGTGAAATGACTTCACTATGTTTTATCTGAGCCTACTAATTGTTATAACTGTAGTGAACTCGACTGCTAGTATTCCTATTTGTCCGTTGCACCTTTCTACTTACTGAGCCACGCAAACACCAAAAGACAAAGGCTGGCCCGTGACTGTAAGATATTGTATTGTACATTTATTAGGAAACAAAACATCTTATTTATACGTTTCTTTACCATAATAAAGTTGGCTCACAACCGTGAGAATGGATTGTTTTTATCAGCTGGCAATGGCTAATTTCATCGGTTCGCGATCCTACAAAGATCAAAGTGAAACAAAAGGTGATGAATTGATCACATGCTAAATCACAATATGCGTGAGAAATAATAGTTTCACATAGTAACTCAATCACAAGATAAATCACACGATTCGTGAGAAAGGATGGTGTATTATTTTATGCTGGGTCCTATCACAGACCTAGTCTTCAAATCAAAGTGTGTAATAAGGGAATACGATAGTTCAACTTTGTACCTAAAACACATATCAACATAAACTAATCTGTATTGCTAATGTGTAAGATTTCAACATGACTATACATCTTACCTTGCTAACAGTGTTGACACTGGTCAGTAGTTTTAAAATTAAATGAACTAACACCCAAGTACTTACTCTTTTTGCCTAACGAAGTCCATTATTAACTTAAAAACTTAACATCAAATCAGTATATTTTGATTTCTCACCGTTTTCCCCTTACATCATCATGTGGGCACCCATTGGCAGCATGAGTCACTGCATATTTAGTATAGTTGAAAGCCTAACATTAGGGAAAAATCTAATTTGTATCATTCATTGTTTTCGTGGTGTTAGTGAATTCTGGGATAAGCTGCTAAATTTCGTCACTGTAGGGAGGTTTTAAATCTTTGTAGCAGTGTTTATAAACGCATGGTAGTCTTAAGGGTATGAAACTGTCGTGAAAAATATTGAGGTAGGTCTTAAAGTAATATATATGGACGAGAAACATTCAAACTTTGATATGTATAAGACTGATTCTGTTAGGGTACTAGTGAATTAATACTAGAACAGTAATATGTATGATAACAGTATTTAAGAGTCACATTGTAGTTCATACATACAAGAAATCTTCCTACTACAGTTATGATAACTAAAACGGTTTTTAGCACGTGTACTCCATGTGAATTCATGGAGTTTTTTGAACTGGGAAGAAGACTTAAGTACCAACTTGATAAAAAGATTTGAAAACAAAACTAATGAACACTGATTCCTACTGTATACACTATTGCGTAAAACAAGGCTGTTCAGTACTATTTCGTCTAGATTGTAAATATCGTAAATAATGTTTTGAAATTTGATACTTTGATATAACTTCTAGAGAGATTAATCGTTGTCTTCGAGATCAGAAAGATGAAACAGGTGATGATAAGGCTTCACCTGACTACGATGATATACTCACACCTGATGCATATAAAGCTACTGAGAATAAAATGGGCGATGAAATGTCAAACAAGGGACAGTTCGACAAGTTACCAGTGAAAGATGAAATCTCTGGAATTGAGGAAGTCGAGGAGATTGACCAACAACTGAAGGCCATCAAGTACGTGCTTTTGTTTATTTTAGGCTAGCATATCACTAATCTTTTCATTTCAGACATAGCTGGCTATGAATGCACTGTCAAACCAAGGAATGTGTTTTTGATTGTTAAAACTATTATCTTATTGTTTGAACAAATTCATATTTAGGATGATGTTTTCATCACATGAGCAGTCTGTCTACCTTCATCCAAAAAGTGAGATACAAATAATGTTCCTCTTCAAGTATGAAACTGTTTTAGACAAGTATATGACATCGTATCAAGTATCAAGTGCTGTTAAAGTATTTTTCGAAACAACCAATTAGATTCTAGGATCTGTAAGAATAAATCAAAGATTGAAAATATTAAGTATATTAATTGGAGACTGGAGAGCAACCAATGTCATGTGTGTAGGCCTAAGTGTTGGTGCAAACTGAATTTTGTTAGCCACGTTCGTAGTGTGACCACCGAGCTGGGCGATTCAACATAGTGGTGCACTGTGAACTGATTTGCGACGGTTGGAGGCAACATGCAGGAAACCCTGAACCAAAGTTTTCGTGCTTGCGAGCACTTATCAGTAAAGGATATCTGCATCCTTAAAGGAACTGATGTCCCTCCTGAGACTCGAACCCACGTTATGCAGATGTTCAGTCCCAGAGGTTACCAATGAGATGTCCCGGCTTGCGACTGAGTCTCCTTGCTACCGAGCACCAAAAAGTACAATACCTAGGCCCAAAGATTCTAGTGAAATACCTCCAAATCATCTAACATCAAAATCCTAAGTGAATTCGAATTGTATTTCAGGTAATATATCTAAATCCTGTTTCGGTCAGTAAACTTACGGAAAAGGAAAATTTCACATATTTTGGATAAAGGTGTAAATATGCTCATCATTACATAAAGTCCTGCTATTTCCAAAAAACTGAGTAAACTTCAAAACCACCACATACAGTTTAAGCTCGTTAAAATCACTTTGTAAAATTGAAGTAGTTGTATCTTCATGATTTTACTTAAGGTGCAGATCTTCTGTAAATAAATCAAATTCAATTCATATTTTGTCTAATGCATATTGCTTTACGGTAAGCTTTTATTTTCTTGCTTCCAATTTAGGATGGGTGATGAAAACGAAAAGGATAACCTTAGTAAAAAGTCTTATGAGGTAAGCACATACATAGTTGTTTTTACAGTTATAATTTGTCAAATCTAATTATTCAGTATACATAAATATTTCTCCTGACTTATTCCTGAACAAAGTTTGCGTACATAACTAACACTATGAACTGGGGCAAGAGAGATACAGAAAAGTTCATGTTTTGATTAAAACCCAAGTAATTTGGTTTGAACGCAGAAAAGCAATCTGTGTTATTCTGTGTAGTTTGCCGAATTTCCACGAGTCACTCACAGTCACAGTTATACTCCATCATTATCAAAACACGGTCAAATATGATAGAATCTTTGGCATCATTCAACAACATGAGAAAAATTAGAAACTACCTCAACAATGCTGTCCATCAGCTATATAGTCCAAAAGTTTCTCAGGTACATACTATGTACTGTACGATAAAATGAACTCACCAAACGCAAATGTAAGTTAGCTTAGAATCAATGATAATCAGAATTCCCAACTAGTTTGGACTGAAACACTGTTTGAAAGAATCGAACACAACAAAACACATTTAAATCCATTCAAACAAAGTTGCAATCCTAAAACAGCACATTATGATCAACCATCCGCAGTCACATAAGGGCAAAGTAAATTATTGAGAATAAAAATCAACTGAAAACAAAGACAAATAATTGGAATTAAGTCAGCAGAAGATATACAAATGTTAAAACGATGACACACAGGTCACAGAGAAAAAGAGTCATAATTACAAAATAAGTTTATAAATTAGAATAAGCATCAGCGTTGTGTTCGGTTGTTCGAAAAGGGATTCTCAAACCCGTTATTCTGCTACAGTTCAAATTATACAGCATGTGAAAACCTATGACAAACAACAGTAATAATTAATTCCATATTAGTTTGTTTATTAGGTATATCACACAGTGAAACAGTATTATTTACTGGATGACGTTTCGAACAAAATTTATTGTTCATAATCATGTCAGTTGTGATCACACGACTTTGACACTTGAGTTTTGGAATTACTTACTGCCACAGTGCCCAAGTTTTACACATATATTAACAGTAATATTTGTTAGCCAAATTATAGTACTGCTGATATTCAGCGAAGTATCGCCTTTACAGATTCCTTGCTTACCGGTTTCATTCCAACTGTTGACCAAATATTATGTCATGAATACCTTTAATTCTTAAGTGAAAGCATGATGAGGTCCATTCTTGTACTGTATAGCTTGCAAACATATTTTTTAAACATAAAGTTGCTTCGTAAGTGATAAGCTATCATGGAGCTATAGAATGAGATGTTGTTTTAAATAACCTTTCCTGGAAGACAAATTTTCCTTTCTACATGCAGATATTTACATCTGCTTTGAAATGTAAAAATGCTTATTTCATTCTTTCCCTTCAGACAACTCCAGAGAAGAATGTTAGGAGGGTTAATTATAGATTTCACTGAAATGAAATCTTTTTTGTGTCACAAATTTTGAAAGGCTTGTTTCTGACAAAAAATTAAATATTCAGAAACATTATCACTAAAAATCACTGAATTAGCTGATGGGGACTTTCACGGTGAAATATCAATCTTAAATGATAGAATAATTTCTCAGAGATTCTCCTTTAAAAATAAGTTTGATTTAATTTAATTTCAGTGATGGCTTTTCTTTTCTCTTTTCTTTAGAAAGTTGATTCCAAAGCACTGATATTTAAAGTATTACTAATAGGCAGTATTGGTGTTGGAAGACAAGCTTTGCTCGACAAGCTATTACATTTTACCAATCAACCGTTTAATAAAGATGCAAGTAATAAAGGGAATGTTGCCTTTCCAACTGATGTGAGAATTGTACTGTATCAGCGTAAGCTAGATGATATCAATTATTTAATTCAGTTTATGAAACCACCAGCACTAAACTTGTAAGTCGCTTATGTTTCTTGGTATTTGAAAGATTTATTGTTGTCATTTACCTTTGACGTGCGTCAGTATTTCTATGTTAGAATGCCCAGCCGACCACACACATCGTCCAGGTTCAGTTATCGGTTGATGTAATCCTAAACTTCGCCTAGTTTACTGACTGGTAATAAGCCAGGAATACATGGAAGGTTTGATGTGATGTTAGCAAACGTATTCCGTCAGAATGATTCCATTACAACTGAAACTTTAAAGCTCAGAGCTCGAATATCTATATTCTATTCGGAGGGTGAATAAAAAACTGAAATGTTATTCTCTATGTAATGAATTACTTAGATAAATCAAACTAGATAGGGAACATATAAGTTACTGTTTATACTCCAAAACGGGTAATCTCTCTCTTTCTAAGTTAAAACGGTGCATTGTTGTGTATGTATGGGTATGAATATGAGAAGACACTAAGACTGCAACTAATTTCAGTCAGTGAAACTGAATGAACTAATTTACTGAACTTTCATCAGAAAGTGGTTTATATGAGATTTTAGCAAGACGAGCAGAGTTTGAAGCATTCAATCGAAGGATATTTAAGATTTGTAAAATACCTGCAGAAATGTGTGATTAAGAATATTAGAAACTACGAAACTGCTGTCACTTTTCAAGATGCTATTTTACACTCTTAATTAACGAAGACGACTTAACCGTATGACAGTGTATTGAGTGGATTTTCTCTAGAAACATTAAAATAATTATTCTATTTGTTTAATTTTTTAGAAGTTTATTTCAATGAAAATATTTAATTTCTTGAGTTTGAGTTCCAATCGGTATATGCGTCGTCATAATATTCGATTCATCATTAGCATGGCTATATAAAGATTTGTTATGCATGAGTGACTAATGGAGATGTATTAGATACACATTGAGGAGATCACTGAGTGACATCACTCGCCAAACCCTTGGGCTGAATCATAATTTGAAGAAACGAGTTGGGAGTGGATCCAAGAGTGACGTGAAATAGATTACGTGTAGGGGAGATGAAAGCTTGTGGACAGCCGTGCAGCCAGCTAGAACGGGTGGAAAGAAACCTAGTGGGATGAAGATGTGCTGCTGAGGCCTCATGTCCCACTAGGAACGCAAGGAATGAATAAAAATAGTAATGCTGATTAGCTGAATTTCAGTTAATCAGTTGTTTTATACGTATACATATTTGTGTGACAATGAAACGTTTGCAAATCACCATATGGCCGTGATAATGTTTCGAAGCAAATTAACCCGTCTTCTGCTTTATGCTAAAGTCAGTACTACATATACTATGGGATTTTATGAATTAGAAGAAATAATGTTCCATCACATGCTACAAGCATTCTTCAACATCTCAATTAAAGAACTTGTTTTTGTCCTGTAAATAATTCGTAAATTTCAGTTATGGATTTTATTGAAATGTTTTGTCTCATAGACTGCAAGCATACATGGTTGGCTAAACGCATTCACAGTGACACCTAATGCCTAAGTTGTAGCTCTACTTAAATGAAACTAGAAATATTGACACTGTCAGTGATGACAGGTTCGCTTTTATGCATCTTCATACTTTGCTACCTTCTGAAAAGCTCGGGTATAATTTTATAAAGCCTTATCATAAAGAAAGTAGCGATCAAAATAGCTCTGCATTATTTTAACAATCTTCGACACAAAAATAACTTTTCCATCACTTTTGTCAGGCTACGAAGTGGTCTGGATTTAATTACTCATAGCCAAGCAGGTAGAGGATCGGGCTGGTGATTTGGAGGTGGCTGGTTGGAGTTCCATTTTTCTTCAGATTTTCATTCTACTGCTAGTCATTACTCAATGTGCGTTGGTGGCACAGTGGTTATGACTCTCGCCGACCATGCGAATGGTCCGAGGTTCGATCCCCTACCGACGCACACCTGATATCAATGGTTGGCCTGCAAAATTTGGATTACCAATATCGCATGCTGAAAATTCCATACTTGTACCAAAAATACTGTGTGGAATCAAGCTGTTATCAAAAATAAACTACCTACCAATCCAAGATTAGTTCAGATAACTTCACCATTTGTTCACCAACTAATTAAAACAACCAGTGAATTTTGGCACATCGACAAGATGTAATTTATCTGAAATACGCAATGTATTGCTGAGATCAAACTCACTACACAGGAGTTTATATGAAAAGAATGATAAAGCTTTAAGGGATAAGATAATGAACAGAGTTTAAGTTAAAAGGCTAAATTCATAGTCGAAATAACAATGAAACAAAATATGTGATATAAGAGAACACTGATTTCGGTTTGACAACAAATTTACCATAGGAGATTTAATGAGACGACAACTTATTTGTCAAATCATAAAAGTGGCTTAAACTTCCTAGTAGATAAGGCTTTCACAGATTTCGAGATACTCCATCCGTAAGCTTTTAAGGTAAGATTAAAAGACATGCAGATATCTATTCTATGCCCTGTTTTAATAATGTTTTGGAAGTGAGAAGCTTGGTCATATGCTTTCACCGCTGACAGGTTCTGGAATAACAACACGTTTCTCATATCACTTTGTCATACCTCTAGAGCTATTCCTAAAATCTGTGGGAGCTTTAACGATTAGAAAATATAAGCGATATTTGCGTGCATAAACAACTTCTCATCACACTGAAGCTCCCCAGTAAACTTGTTTTGGAAGCAAGAATAATATTGCTTTTATCCCCCAAAGTTTCTGTATATTACTTTTCATTGTTATTTTGACCTTATATATAACCTTTTGAATTAATCATTCTGTCATCTCTTAACGCTTCATTATTTCTAATATAAATCCCAACTATAAATGCATATGTGATGAGATTTTTCGAAATGTGTTGCAGCAGTTAGTTACATGATTCAGATAAATTACGCCTTCTTATCGTTTCGTCAAAATTCAAAAGGGAACTGACTGTGTCAGTAAAAATAGGATTGGTGAAATGTTTAAATGACAGAGCACAAAAGCTAAGTAGTACCAAAGAAAATCTAAAACAGGAACTGATACACATAAAAGAAGCCTTGAAACTTAATAATTACCCGGATGAATTAGTCAGGAAATATGTAAGGAAATGTAAAAATAAAATAAATAATAACAGTAGCGATAGTGATAATAACAATAATAATGATAATAATAATAGTGATAATAATAATATTAATGACGACACCAACAATAAGGAATCTAAATTATCAGTAGTAATTCCATACAAGGAAGGAACCTCGGAAGCCTTACGCAGAATTCTTAACAAGGCAGGAATAAAAATGGCATTCAAGCCCACAAACTCAATTAGAAACAAGCTTTGTCGGTTAAAGGATCTTGTAGAGCCTTTAAAACAAAACAATTTAGTTTATCTAATACCCCTGCAATGATTGTCAGGTCAAATACATAGGTGAAACTAGTAAAACAGGGGCAGTCAGACTAGCTGAACATAAAAACTTAGCAAAATCTAGATTGGTTGATCCAAATAAGATAAGAAATCTAGAGAATAGTTCAGCTATAGCACTACATGCAGTTACACACAACCATACAATAGGATGGGATAGGATGACAGTTTTAAAATCTAATGTCACAGGGTATAGGGAGAGATTGATAACAGAAGCTTTGTTTATCGAATCAACTGCAAATACATGTAATAGGAATGATTCATCACCTGTCCCCGATATCTGGAAAATTCTACTACCCCTAAGACAAATAGGAGAAAACAAAGAAAACTATAAAACTCAAGTTTCAAAGTCGTGTGATTACAATTGATATGATTATGAACAATAAATTTTGTTCGAAACGTCATCCAGTAAATAATACTGTTTCACTGACTGTGTGATACATCTATTAAACAAACTAATAGGGAACTGACTGTGTGTAATTCAGTGAATTAAAGATTTGGAATTATACGGTTTTTTTATGAGTTAACTTCTCAGTATGATCCAGTGCTTATGTTAGAAATCACTGATCAGCATTGAAATACAAATTTACTTGTTGTGACTAAATTAGTAGCAATATCATTTCTCGTTTTCTTAATTTTTTTTAATTATTTGGTACAAAGTTCGGAGTTTTGTGAATCAAAATATAAGCTTTTAGTATATAATTTTCAGAACAGTGTAGTGAAGTGTAGAGATTTTTCAGTTGGTTTGGTATTAACTACTGTAGTGCCAAAGTATGAAAAATAGACAAAATTAGGCTGAAAAGAGAAACGTAACATCCATGAATACACGGTTTATAACCAAGTAGTCAACTGTGTCAGTGTTTAAAGTAATCAAAATTAAAGTCAATGAGCAAAAAGTAGAAAGAATTCTGCTTTACTGTAATGCAAAATATTAAGAGATACCATTGATTGTATCATGTCAATAAAGATGTAGAGAGTTTGAAAACTGGAAGAATTTTTGTTTGTGAATTATTCATCAGAAAAAGTATTTTTCCATCTCTGTACAGGCACTCTGAAATTTTTAAATAAATTATTGTGATGGTGGAAAAAAAAGAATACGGCAATGAAATTATGCATTGGAAACTCAACTTACAGATGTAGGCAAACTATTTCTATCATCTATTAGAATCGTGATTCGCATGTGTCTTCAATATTGTGCTTCTTTGTCTTTTCATGTTTTCTACGTTGTTTCACAGGTCCATTTCTCCTTTTTGCCATTAAATCCATCTCTCCATTGTTAAATATTCTTGCAGATGATATGCATATTGATATCCTTGCATAATCAGAAAATGAAAAGCGAAATTTTCAATCTCTCCGATATACTTGTGAAATATTACAGTGTGGTTGCTGATAGGAAGAGAGCTAAATGTTACTCAACCTCATTTACACTTTTTGATCTTTAATATCAATATCGTATTTATCAAGGTAGTTATACAGATGTTCTGATCATTGTCGAAATAGAATCTTTTATTATTTCGACTTTATATTCCATGCTTTATCCCATCCTTTACCATTTTGTGCGTCGGTGGCACGGCGGTAGAATGCTCGCCAACCACACATATGGTCCGGGGTTCGATCCCCGGCCGACGCACTCCTTTACCTAGCGAAACCAGTAATAAGACTGGTAAAGAGGGAAGGTTTGGCATGAGGCTAGCAAGCCTATCCCGTAAAAATAAACACCACTGCTACCGAAACTTCAAGCCTCTAGCTTGAAGCCCTATGTTCCACTGGGAACGTAAAGGAAAAAAAACCTACCATTTTACAATGATTCAACGAACTCACAGTTAATTGCTTGCATTAAATGACTAAAATGATGCCTCACCTTATATCGAAATTATCTATTTCTTGTTTTCAATTTAGTAGTGAAAAAACATACGGCAGTTTCTTCGAGAGATCAGATGGCATCATTCTTGTTTTCGATATTTGGACACAGGAAACACTAGCTGATTTGGAAAAGTATTATTTATCTAATGAGATTCATATAAAAACGGTTCGCAAACCGATTTATATGCTACTGGGTAACAAAAGTGATATGGAGGAAACTGATCCAGAAAAAAATACCAGTCAAGTATCTGAAAAACGAATTACTGAATTCGCCAATGTGAGTTAGACGAAATTTATAGTAGAATACCATAAAATTACCAGATAAACTTTCATATTTTTTAATTGTTGGCTTTAAGTTTTGAACTTCATATACTCAAAAATCTATGATTTTAAAAACACCTTTGAGCACTTTTCACACTGTCTAAAAGAATACTATCTTTATTGAAAATGGATCAGTTAAATTCATGTATTATTTTACTTTCTCCACTTTGTATAACTAAAGAGTACAATTTAAGCAAATACGAATTTTCGATAATTTCAAAACAGGCTTTACTATTATATAATAGAGTTATTGATCAAAGACATTTAGCTGTATATTTTGTTGCACATATTTCGTTGTATAGGTGAAGGATCAGCTACCGAGTGTGGCCACTTCAATCTGCATTTGTAAATTTAACTACCCCTGTGGAGACAGTCACACGTGGAATGACTGGCAAACCACAGTCCTTCTTAAGCAATATCTATGTGGTTAGGAAAAGGAATAGTAAGGTCAAGGAGGAGTTCCATATTGACACATCAAGTGGATACACGGCATAATAGTGAGAAAAAAATGCAGCATTTATAATTTTAAATGCCTTAATTCTCTTAGTTTTTACGTCTTTGTTTGCTATGCACAACTGAAGCAGTCACAGTGACAAATTTTCAATTGAATCTTCATGCTTAGAAAAAGTTTGTCTAGTCTGTTGTCTTCTCATGGTCGTTACCTCATAGCCTAGAATAGTGACACTGGTTAACTGTAAGTATTCTGTTTATTTTACTGTCATCGTCATCTTAATTATCATACTGTGTTGTAAATGCATATTTTAACCTTAGTTTTACAATTTATCATAAAACCAAATACTCAATTATCTAATCGGCATGAGAAATTGGTTATTTCTCCCCGTACATTCTACTTACACATTCACAAGGACTGATTACCTCGATTACATAGATACTTGGATAAATTCACCCTTGTTATTATTATTATGGCCACCTTGACAATTATCCACTAATTCACATACCTGGAATTTATTCCTATTAACCACATTTGTACCACATGTCTGTGATTAATAATTTTATTATGTAATTTTAAAGCCTAATGAGAAATCACCGAAAACATCTTTCTGCTTTGTCTTAATGTAAATCTTGTTATAGAAGAAAACCTCATGTACAAGACTTGAATTAGTATGAAATAGACAAGCGATTGCTGAAGCTGTCCAGTGCGTGTGGAAGTGAAACGTAAGGCTCTAAATAATAGAATGGCATTCTATAACGATTCGAATAAATTAACAAAATCACAGCAAAAAAACAACAACAGAGGAAGCATTTAATTACAAAAAGTGCTGTGATTTATTGACTGTATGGTATAGATTTTGGGATTTGACTTTTCTAACTTTGCATAAGCGACTGACGCACACTTCTTTGAATAAATCCTGTGAATGTCTTAAAATTATGAACAAGCATATAGTGCATAAAGCGTTCAACGACCAGCAGATGAATTTTAGAGATAATCTTAACTACCATTTTTGTTGAATCATTTGTGTTCTCTGAGCTGTTTAATTTAATTGCGAAGCCTTCGTCGTCTTTCTAGGTAACAACTTCAGCGCAGGTTTTAGACGTTTTAATCAAGAGAACTAACATAGGAAATTTAGAAACATAAGTATATAGAAAATTAACGCACACAGACCAAATATTCAACTATAATAGTAATAATTATCCACAAAAGAAACTGTGTGCAGACATTGTTTAAAAGGGTTCAAACACACTGTAGCACTCCTGCGTTGAAGAGAATGGAGGAAAAATACCTAATAAACGTCTTCAAAACGAATGCATATCCTCACAATTTCATCAAAAAGTGTTTAAACTCGAGCCATAACACCAACAGTAAGCCAACATCAAAGATCACAAGAAAATTCATCCTACCATATATAGAAAATACCTCTGAAATAACAACTAGAATTTCAAGACCGTTTCAAATAGATATAGCACACAAGCCAGCATAATCACTTCATTCGGTATTGTGCAAACCAAAAGATCCAACAGAAAAAGAAGATAAAATTAATACCATTTACAAAATAAACTGTATGAACTGCAGTAAACGTTATGTCGCTCAAAGTGGGCGTCCCATTCAAATCCGAATGCAAGAACACAAAATGGCTGTAAAAACCATGATATATAATCTTTAGTATCAATGCATGTGAATAATTATGCACACCAATTTGATTGGGATAATGTCGAAATTTTAAATAGAAGAAACACCAAAAGTGCCAGAGAATTCCTAGAAGCCTGGTACTCAGGTAAATCAGCCAGCGATTAAAAAACACATTACTATAGAACAAATTTACCAGCTAATAAAAAGTGATTCACATGACAAGAAAGTTCGAATTCCAAGTCAATAAAAGTGATCAATAGAGACGTAAATTAACAACCAGTCAAGACAGTGGTTGCCAGGCAATATAATTATATCATTATTTGAGTCCATTTTATACTAAAACCTGCGCTTCGTAATTAAATCAACCATATCAGAGAACACAATTAATTCAATATCATCCATCTGAGCTACAAATCTTCTCCATTACCATTTTTGTTGCAACCCGCAGAATTCAAAGGTTGTTTATATTATAGTTGTAGTTGTTTAGTAAACCTCAAAGTAGTGATACAGAATTATTGACTGTACGATGTTTCTTATAGAATTTAGATATCAGAAAGTGTACTAGGGTACAAGAACAAGATGAAATAATACTCCGTCAGTTTTGGTTATCATTTAAATTCATATGAATAGTATAGCCAATAAGAACATCAGATAAAATGAGATTAAACCATCAAGTGATGTGACGGAGTGAGCTGTGTTTAGTGGGATCAGAGGCAATATGATTAAGACAAAGGAATAAATAAACAGTTGGATTACGTTGAATGTAAGTCAGAGGGCTGACAAATAATGATTGTAATGACAAAATAACAATAATGGTGAGGTATAAATGCAGCCATCATAGGAATGATGGGAAATCAAGCGATAAGGTTCAGTGTAAGTTCAAAGGCTGAGAGATGATAATAATATTAATAATAATACTTCTCCTCATCTAGTCTACTTCACACCACTATTACTAATATTGCAATTATTACGGTTATTACTAATATTATTTGTTTTCCTTTGGGTTTATACTAGGCTTATTCTAAGTCTTCACTACCTAATTACCGTCCACTAATATTAGTGTAACATTTTTGATTTAAGTATAAAAATTCGGCACTGTGGTCGTCTATAACTCCATTTAGGATTAGATTTTATTCTGATAAATTACACAGTTGTACAGTAATATTTACTGATGACCACATTAAAGTCTAAATATCTATTAGAATGCGCTGGTTTTTTATAAACGCTAGTGTGCAGTTTACCTTCTTCTATTCGTTTTATTTTATAATCTAACATGGCTAATTCTCCTTGTTTATTTTCCCATTCAAATGTGAATTTTATTCCCTCTAGTAGTGAGTTTACATGCATCAAGAAGCTAGAGATATGTTCTGTTTTTAACACTGTGAAAGTATCACCCACATATCTCCACCATATCTTTGGACTAGGATTAAATGTATTAGGAGCGGTATTTTCCCACTTGTTCATAAAGATACCTGCAACGATATGGGATATTGGTGATTCCATTGCTACACTTTCTGTTTGTCTATATATTTTGCTCACTCAGAGACAGTCCTTTCGGCTAAAAGACCCGGTGAACCCAATTAAACAAAATAATATAATTTACAAAACACCTTGCAATGACTGTGAGTTAAGTCAACTATATAGGTGAAACTAGTAGATCAGGAGTATTGAGATTATTAGAACATAAGAATTTAGCTAAGGTAAGAATGGTTAACCCTGAGAAGATAAGTAATTTAGAAAAAAGCTCAGCGGTTTCACTGCATGCATTAACACACACAACCACACAATAGGGTGGGACAAAGTGCAAATTCTAAAGAGTAATATAGGTAGGTGGAGAGAAAGATTGATTACTGAATCCTGGTTCATCGAGTCTACACCCAACACGTGCAACAGAAATGACTCAATGCAAATACCAGTCAAATCAGAGGACAATGTTCACATTATAATATCTTATTTCCCATCTTATTGACTAACAAGACTCGTCTTATTTCCCATCCTATTGTATCTTATTCATAACACTAATATTATTTCCCAATGTATTTTATCTTATATTAATTTTATTCAAATATTTAATCAATTTTTACTCATGTATATAAATGAAGCAAAACGTTGTGTGAGTGACTTGAAATGTTTATGAGGCATAATATGTGCCCGAAATGTGGTCATCAGTTACTATTGCGTACAACTCTGCAGTTTAACATTTCTTTTATGAATAATGGAAGAGGGCAAATTACGTATAAAAAATTAAAAAATACTTTTGTTTACAAATAACTAACACTTTATCGAATCGGTGTCTGTATAATTTATCAAGATAAGAGAATCACTGCGTTGTATAGTATTAAACAATGGCTTGAAATATGCATATTTGATAATATTTGACAATAACTGAGAGGCCTACATTGTCATTTTCGAAAAATCTTCAGTGAAGTTGATGATTTCATTTATGGAGAATTCTAAAAGCTTATTTCATTTTGAATCAAGGTCTACAAGTATCACATAGAAAGAAAACGAAGGTTTCACTATTAATCAATCCAGGTATGATGGAGTTACATACAGTCTCCAATATATCAGGACAGTTAGTAATAGTACTTCACAGCTGGGGATGATTTATACCTTGAGTTGAAAGGTCATTTTTCTTAATGAACCAAGGTGACTTGATAATTTCAGTCATATCAGACCTGAGAGAAAGATGACTCAAGTTTGGCGATATCAAACGAGTCTTTCACACCCGCCTTGAGATCTCGTCAGCATACCATATTTTAAGACCGATGCAACTTCCCATTTTAGTAAAGTGACCAACTGTTGGTCACATACCTAAGGAAGTTATGTATTTCATTACAAATTCGGCCTAGTGTATGTCAAATAGTTTCACCGTCATTTCATATAAGCACATATAGTCTATGTGAACTTTATTTTCTCAAGTAAGCTCCTTAAGTAATAAACATCAGCTTTATAACATTACTTTTCTTGTAAATGTGACTTTTCTAGGGTTTAAAGAATAATAAATGTATTACTAAGTAATTAAATATGGCGACATAGGGAGATACACTGCTGATGTAATTAGCTTTAATTAGTTTTCATTATGTCCTTGATAGAATAACTTTCAGCGAAACGTGGAAATGTCAAAAAACTGTTACGCTCTTAAACTGTAACACAAACGTTACTTTGCACACCAGATAAACGAACAAATAAGTAAAATCCAGTCAACTATTCTCATGTATCTGTTGTTTCAGAAACTGTGAAATTAAAGAAGAAACTATTTGCATGCATATCTAGATAAAACTGAGTAACTTTATCGTGCTTAATTTCAAACATATTTATTTATATGTTATTATTTATATTATTATATTATTATTTATAAGTGGTCAGAATTCTCATTTATAGACTAGTTACCTAGCCCCAGTTTTTGTTCAATTTCTATCAGTCTTCACCAGCAGGATGCATCGGTGGTTCAGCTGAAGAATGCCCACCAGCCATGCATGTGATCCACGGTTCCATTCCCGGTGGACGCATTCTTAAACCTGACCTAACCTGTAGCATGTGCGGTAAACAGGGAAGGCCGGGTACGGGACGAGCAATCCCACTCCATAGAAAACAACATTATCACTTTTGAGACTCCAAGGACCTAAGCCTGGAGCCATATATTCTCCTTAGAAGGCAAGGAAGGAGATAAAATCACCGACATTCTTGTATTTGTTGGTGATATATATCATCCATAAAAGAATTAACAGTTTAGATCAATAAACTTTGACATTTTCTTTCAATATATTGAATAACTGGTACATTCTAAACGCATATGTTATGACCTAATTAGTATGCACTTCACCAGGTTATTAGGTTATAGAAGTATGAAGTATTTGAATCATTACGAACGCATTCAGAGTAATCTCTGCTGAGCCCATAGTTATTTATCAAAACAGGTAACCTTTTTATCTTGACAAGAAAAAAGTATTTAGGTTTTAGTAATTAAGTATATCAGGTATACCAAGTATATAGAAAATGATCGGAAAATACATCCACCGTAGGTAATTAATTTTTTTACAGGGAAACGATAAAAATGTTTAGATTTTCTTTAGGGTAAACTGGACCATTGAAATAGAGAATCTTTGCTTTGTTCTATGAATAAAAAATATGTAAAGTGGGATGTTTTGTTTCGAATGATCGGTCTCTTCGAAAATACTTACCAATACAATTACTAACCCTACGCATACCTAACTTTAAAAAGGGAAAGCGTAAACTACCATAGGAAATTGATACTAAAGAGGTACTTCTTTCAGTTGACAGAGGAATTAACTTTCATGCATGGATGCATACAAGAAATTTGGAAATTAGCAGCCTTGACTTATGTTATATGGATCATGGTGTCTAGTAGTAGAGTTCAAGACAAACGCCTCTTCCTGTTTTGAACTCATACATGCTCCGCTTTTATGATTGGTGTTGTTTCTGCTGAGATTCGAACTCAGAAACCAAATACCTCGGTCCATTTATCCTCAACATTTGAAACAATAGATTATGGATTCAAATAGCTTTGGTAACACCTCCGCTTACTGAAGATGTGAGTATATTTAGTTGATGAGTTCTAGGTTGGAAAAAACCCACGTCCTGGGTTCCACTACTAACCATCTTTGACCAAAGGAAGTCACACCAACCTTCAGATAATGTCCAAACACTTGAGGTAGGATGACACATATCAAGGGTGACCAAGCATTTCGGTATATTAAAGTTAAAGGATGACAGCTCAAAAATGATTTCATTTACTGGGGTTAAACTTTTAAGAAGACTACTTTAAACCGTATCAGTATGCAGTATTTTATTGCACGCTGTTTATAATTCAGGTCAGAATTAATGTCAAGTCAAAAGTTCTTTACTTGGTTTAAAATTTCTGCATAAATTAGGGAGTTTTAGCCGCAATATATTAAAAATCTACATGCTTTGTCATAAATGATACGATTTCTTGCGGAACTATATCTTTTACAGTATTCATTAAATCTACCTTAGGACAACTATTCTTTATTGGCTCATGTGAATGCAATATTTCACCAGGATATCAAGCTACAACCCTACAAAATAAACGACTTTTGGTAGACACACTGTATCACAAGTACTTTTACTTTCATGGCTACGGTATCACTGGCATCTGATATGTTAGAAAATTGAACAGTTATTGTAGGTAACGGAAAGAACTTCACTGGTTTAGGTGTATACGTTAAGCACTGAAGTTAGGATACATTAAGCTGATCAGATGTGTTCCATAACTTTTTCCGCAGCTTTTAAATTTATAAATTACAAGAGATTAGTTATGATGTTATTTTTGTGGACGGTATTAAATACAATCGAGTCGAAAAGGAGGAATAATAGAAGTAAGCACATAGTTAACGATTATTTATGGTCATCAACAAATAGAGATAAAAATAAGAAGAAACTCTTTATGACGACGATGTCCATATATATATATATATATATATATATATATTCATGGGGAATCGCAACCATGCCTCAAAAGAAGTTGAATGAAAAACTAGAACTTCAGTCATTGGGTGCAGTTTGCTTCGTCGTTGTTGAGAGTAAATATCGCATCAAAAGGAACAATGCTTCCACAATAATACACCAAGTATCTATTAATTACCCTAGATACACCTTTGTGTCCCTTTCATTCATATCTTAAGCTAAATAAATAAATGGATGTAAGACAAGATTATCTATTCAAGCAGACAGTCTATCCTGGTCTATTGTAAGAGTTACCAATAAAAATAATCAATACTTTCTTTCGTTTATCCCCCCTATGTTACTCGAGGTGATTTGGTTGCCTAATATGTTTTATCCGTTTAGATGCACTATTATCACTCTTACTAGTATTGCCACTCAGTTTTGGCCATCTGTTGGTAGTTTATAAAGCTTATTTGACCAGTGTTTTCACATTATTAGTTAATTTTTATCCACACCATATATAAATCGATCAATGTGAAGTATCATCTATGGAACTTTTGACTACTATCCTCTGATATGATAGCTTTCAATTATTTTCATCGCATTACTAATTCACTAGTAGTTTTATTTATGGCTTATAGTGGCTTTTACATGTTTACATTCATATAACTAGGGTAAGAAGTTTTTGAAAATGATTGGTCGATAAAATATGTCCTGAGTTCAGTATTTAAGCAAAACCAACGCGTACACTTGGGGGTTAAAACGTCAACTAGGGACCGAAAAAAATTCCTTTCGATAACTTCACATTTCAGTTCTAAATTTTTAATGAAGAATGAGGAAAATAAAACAATTTGAGCATCATATTACAGAATCTCAACTTAATTAGGACGTTTGAAAACAACGAGTACTGGGTTTCAGTTTCATTGGGATGTGCAGGTATGCCCAATTGACGAGTCTTAAAGAGAATGAAATAAGCATAATGCATTCCACTGGCAGTGAATATCACCTGAAATATAGGCACTAGGTTACATACTTTGTGATAGAAATTGTTGAACACTTGAAATATGCGTATTAATCACACATTTACTCAGAGCACAACTAATAACGATTCAAATAACTCGAAGATGACATGCTCAGAACAATCGCTTTTCGGCTGGACTATAAAAAAGGCATGTACATGCATTGAAAACAAAGTTGTAAGACACACTGCAGTTCATTAAGGCTCCGTGAATAAAAGAGCTTTTTGTAAAAAAGGCTCATTTTCATGAATGGTTTCATCAGTGCTTACATTATGAATAATTTAAATTTGGGAATTTTGCATTTCAGTTGTAAAATTTGGAGTTTATGCCTGAATTTAAAATGATTTCATTTTGTTTGAATTTTGTCATAAAATTTATAATTTTAACAAGTTTTGAAAAATAATAACATTGATGTTTACTTCTCAAAAACTTTGACTGAGATTTCATTTTCAGAAATTGGATGGTGACTTCTTCAGAACGAGTGCAAAAACAGGAGAAAATGTTCAGGAGTCTATTGATGCATTCTTAAGGTAAATTTAAACATATGTTGTTTAAATAAACAGTTAAAGTTCTTTTGATTATAGCTTGATTCCACACCATATTTTCAGTACAAGTATGGAATTTTCAGCATGTGATATCGGTAGCCCAAATTTTGCAGGCCGACCATTGATATCAGGCGTGCGTCAGCAGGCGACCAAACCCCGGAATATGTGCATGGTTGGCGAGCGTCCTAACCGCTGTGCCACCGACGCACATGAATTTTAAAAATAAGAATTTATTGTGAAATAATTATTCTCATGTAGATTGTAAATATTTAAAAACTTAAATGAGTTGACAACTGAAGTTAAAATGAAAGGCTGGGCTATCCTTGAAACAACGGTCCTTAAATACCTCTGGATTTCAAATTAAACCTAGCTCATATATTAAAACTTACGAGTTTTAATAGTTGACCCATTGCTTCGTAGACACTTAATTGAAACTATTCCTTAAGGAAGTAAAGTAAATTATGCAGCTGATTATCAGTATCCAACTTACTCTAACATCAGTAAACTCCCCATGAAATGAACAACTGTATGATGTGGGAGTTAGATGCTAAATGATCTTACTAATGAAGTGTGTTACCTCAAATACCAGTCTCTGTTGATCATGCCAAGGGATGTTGCATTATACACCTCTTTCTGTTCATCCACTTCCGCTGTATAATAGATACCACAGTTCAAAAAACATGTTTATCCATATGTTATTGCCTTTTTGAAATGTTTTACTGAAAAAAGACATCTGGTCTTCAGTAGATTACTTTCAAAATGCCTTTACGGTGTACATTCAGTCAAATAAAAACTTAATTATTTAGTGACTTACGAGTGAACATTTGTTTTTTCTGAAACTTAGAAAATATTTTCGCATTATTTTCCCTGAAGATATTTACTTGAGGTAGATTTGCTCAAAAAGCAAAATCTCTTAGAAACTAGCTAAGTACCAAAGGGCGATTGCCGGATTTTTGTTCCTACTTTTGTACTTTCTATCAATTGTGACGCACAATCTAATCCACAGTCGCATGCAGGACCATCAGGTTACGAAGCAGTCATATTAGCACTCAGCCTGGAGGCTAAAATCCACTGACTTTGATATTTTAACTACTCTCAAATCACAGTATAAAGGTTCAAAATTTCATGGATTTTAACTCAATCTTTGGTAAAAATGTAGAAGATATGTGACAAAGAGTACCAAGCTATGATAAATCACCATTTAATACTGTCTGGCTTTCAACATTTCTTTCACGGTTGTTGCCTAGTGGTGAGATCTAGTTAGCAGCCAACTCAGTGATTACCGAATAAACTCGTCTCATGTGTATTTTTAGGCGAAATACTTTCTCAGACTAACCAATTTATCTAGATTCCCGGAATGTCTTAATATATGGTATAAAATGTGTCTTGACGTAAAATCATTGTTTGCAAAGATATCAACCCAAGATCCTAAAACACAGAATTTTAGTCATAAAACTGTTGCGTAGGTAGTTTCTTGAAGCATAATAATCAATCTTGAGAGTTCAGTAAAACATAAATGCATTTAAATGAATGTATAGTGAGATCACTTATATAGCTTTTTTTAGTTACCTTATTCCAGATTAGCAAGGTAGGACAATTATATTGAAAATTAAGTTGAAGGAACATTACAGCTTTGAGTCTTAACAATAGGCTGTGAAAGAACTGGATACATAACTTGTGGTTATTCAGTGGGCTTCTGTAGAATTTATATATGAGATTTCTACTTTTTGGTAGACTTCAATAATAATCACAGTATCATCAACCAAAACGTCCCGTGAAAGTAATCCTTATTTCAAAGCATTTCTTCAGGGAGGTGAAGAAGTTGGTTTATTAAAGAGAATATTATCATAATGTAGGAAATTTATGACACGCTATTTATAGAGATACATTTCATAAGATGAATTCAAAGATTTCCATTTAGCTTTTCTTGTAAGCTTCAGTAATTACAATGAGGAATCTTTAAATTTAACTTGTTCCTTTTCAAACAGTGGTTTCATAAATAACGTCGACTTTTAATTAGTTCTTCTATGTTCTTGATAAATTTCCTTATAGAAATAAGACGATGAGAACATAAAACTAAACCAGCCATACATTTCACAGCTTCATTAAGTTTATCCCAACCAGAATGATATATGATAAAACTTTGTTTCATCTACTGCATATTAAAACTAAATGCATACATATATACATTTCTGGGAATATACACATTGGATCGCTAAGAAGATTCACCTACAAAAGGCCGACATGGGACGGACAGTTAATCAACTTTAAGCCTCTAAGCAGAAAGAGAAACCTAATATATTCTCTTTCCTCGAGAATCTGGAAAATTTGCACTGAGGCGTCAATTAACGAAGAATTGCGAAATCTCTGAAGGACCTTTATAGGAAATGGATTCCAACCCAGTTTCATAGACAAGGATCTAAAAGCAAAGAAAACTCCTGAAAAGGTCCAAGTCACCCCTGGAAAGATGCTGATACTTAATCACGAATTTAAAAGTGATACCGAAGTAGAACTTCTCTGTAGACGGCTTTCGAAGTCTCTTAGTAAGAAATACTTCGCCACCAGCCTACGAGTGACATTTTCCTGCAAGAAACTTGAAATATAAGCTGTCGCATTGGGCCAGTTCACTTGCTCGAGCGGAACCGAGTACATTGGTCGTACCATGCGTCCGCTTGTAAAACGCTCTCGAGAACAATATCTACCACGTTTAGGAAAGGGAGAATGCAAGGGTGTATACAGTTTGGTTACAGAACATTTGAAAAAGCCTTCAAAGTCACATACAGGATCCGACCAAACCTATCACAGAGAATGAAATCAAGGCATATAGGAATAGCTGGGACACTGGCGAGCCATGAACTCAAACCCATTCTTTGTGTTCGAAAGAAATACTTCCAACCGTTGTCCCTACCGTGGCAATCATGAAAACTCAGTCCCACAAATAACGATTAACCTATCACCTTTCTTGTCCAACCTTCCTGTTTATTCCCGTTACTTTTACGCTTTTAATTCCTATCTGCCTTACTAGATTGGGTTGCTGTTTTCAAAATTTTTTATGTGTCTGAACTTCCTACCCACTTTATTAATACTACGTTCTCAATCCGTAGTTATACAAACTGAAAAATGTTTCCAGTAATTATGATCTCATTATATCTTTTCTATCCAAACCTCCTGATTATTACACTTTGGAATTTTGTCAATTTGACCTTTGACCTGAAATATTTCCAGAATAGTACTACTACCTATCTTTTCTTATTCCTTTATGTTCCCAGTGGGACATTGGTCATCAAGCTAGAGGCTTGAAGTTTCAGTAGCAGTGGTGTTTATTTTTACGGGATGGGGTTGTTAGGCTCATGCCCAACCTTCCCTTTTCACCAGTATTAATACTGGCTTAGTGAGGTATAGGAGTGCGCCTGCTGGTGATCGAACCCCGGGCTACATATGTGGTTGGTGAGCATCCTACCGCTGTGCTATCGATGCATTTACAGTTATTAAGTTTATTAATTAAACCTTTGACTGGAAGTAATTCTGGAACTTCCTTACATATTTATTTCTGTTAAAATATACACAAGCAAAAGAGCATTTGTGTTCCACATTTTTAACACTTCAAATAACAAATCTAAAACACCAGCCATGAATAGTGCTCACCACAGTTCAACTGTAAACAAAGTGATAAAAATTCATCGAAATAAAAGCTTTTACTAGAAGATTAAAATTTGACTGGAATCCAATAAAAGTTTTATATGTAGAGTTCAAGGTTGTATTGACGAATTACCAACGGCTCCGCCATACACAAATGCCGAAACCTGGCGCTCTTTGTACCATTTGGCCTCCCTTGTAAATAATCTTGAAAGACGAGAAGAAAATTTTCTTTATCGACGAAATCATATTCGTCGACTGTACACCCTTTGAAGATGATTTCGTCGGAAAGGAAGTTTTCTTCTCGTCTTTCAAAAGTTCTAAATATCAAAATCAAACCATCAAACATGATTCAGAAGTAGTTTCGAAAGTGTTTGTGGTACATTGTGGTCTAAGGCTTTTGCGTTGTAAACTGCTTTTAAAACATTTGGTTTTTCATTATTGAAATAAACAGAAGAATTGCTTTGTATGTCAGGAAAGTTTGTTGATATCACCTATTTAATCTACTGAGTTGTTTCTATGAAATTTCCGGAATTATAAAATTGCAAAGAGAAAACCTGGTAAACATAAGGTGTACAGCAACTGAATAGTAGACAGCTGAAAAAAATCTGGGGAATTTCAGGTCATAGTCAATAGATCAGAAGTCCAAATCTAGTGGTAACTACTCCGATCTAGACAGTATCGCAGACCTTCAAAATTCAATTATCATACATATGCTATTTATTCATAGTTTTATGTCTACTTTAATTACAAATTTATAAAATTTACTAAAAAGTCAATGAAAGTGTGTATTTTCTTGTGCCCAGAGCCAGTTTTGTATTCATCATTGAACAAATGCTTTGAAATTAATTTTCACCTCTCATTGAACTTTTCTCGGTTGTTTCAGTGTAAAATAATACTAAGTACGTTGAATAAAGCTGCCAAGTAGTTGATGGTTTAGAGATTGAAAGCTTGACTACTGCTTACGTGGTAGCAGTTCTGTTCGCAACCTTCTTACTCGTAAACGTCACCTGGCTGGTAGTATTAGGTTTGGTAAAGAATCAAGGTTGGGCTTTGGGCTAGCAACCTCGTCCACTAGAAGAACAACATAGACGTTACTGAAACCTCAAAGCCTAAAGTCTTATGCTTCACTTGAGACGCAAAGGAATGAAAAATAATACTGGGCAAAATCTCCTAGTATTTAGATTGTTATTTTTATATTATTAGAATTGTTACTATCATTATTACTCTAATGAATAAAAGGTATTCGGGGATTTGGATAACACAGCTAACCACATAGTAAAATCTTTTTAGTATGTCTGTTTGCTAACTTTTACGAGAACCAATTTTTCTTGTAAGCCTAGACTTCGGTTACGATTTTAAAATTTTCCGGAGATCTTATGATAAAATACAATTTCATACATTTGGTTCCCTTGATAAATTTCGATAGAGAAAGAAAGACCAGATTTGCAGTATAAAATGATATCATTCTATTTCACAGGTTCTCATCAGCTGCAAACTACCTGAAATTACAATGGTTATAATTAATAACATTTCATACTTCATTGTTTGAAAGGTAATACAGAAAGCATTATAAGATAAACGCATCCGGAATATAAGGATTAAAATTTTTTGTAGCTTAAGTTACCATCAATTTATATACTATCAAACTATGGCAAAAAGAAAGAAAAAGGGGGGGGTGAGAGAAGACAATATAATAAATGACCTAAATATTATTTGCTGGCTCAAATTCATGAACTTCGTCAAAGAATTACAGTCCAGAACTGCAAAAGAATATGAAAACCAACTGACAAAAGCATTAGTCAAGGAAAAGTTAACTGAAGACTTCCCAGAAGCACCTGAACGTTACGTTTGTAATCTGTCAAATTTACAATTAAGCAAAATTGAATTAGAAGCTTTATCCTTGGGATTCAAGTTTCACGTCCCTAAAAAGCACATAAACCGTATAGATACAGAAACGCAGTTTGAATACTTATACTATCAACTTGCTGACCTGCAACCTGTGGACGAAGACAAACGAGGATGGCTAAAGTCCAAACTGGTTGATATAGCAAACCAATACCACACATCACCATCCGAAAAACAAAATATGCTTACTGAGGAGCATAGAGCGGCACTAAGGAGACTATGTGAAAATGATGACATCGTCATGTTTAGACCCGACAAAGGCTCTGGAGTTGTTATAATGAATAAAACTGATTATGTACATAAAATGTTGACAATTCTTAACGACTCCGAAAAATTTCAGGTGGACAAAACTAAGAAGGATGCAACAACGTCATTCGAAAATAAAGTGAATAAATGCCTCAGAGAACTACTCATCAAGAAACTGATTGACAACAAAACTTACAATGAACTCAAGTCAAAGGGTGGACGACTCCCATTTATGTACGGTCTACCAAAAATCCATAAGGCCAATGTGCCCTTAAGACCAATACTATCAATGATAAACTCACCGTGCCACAAACTAGCTCGATGGCTAGCTGATTCATTGAAGCCAATTCGACAAAAATTTTCAAATCATAGCTTGGATGACACCTTCCAATTTTCTAAAGAAGTCGATCACGTTGACATATCCAATAAACTAATGGTATCATACGACGTGACTGCCTTATTTACAAATGTACCAGTGATGGAAACAATAGATATCATTTGTAAACAAACGGATCTATTGCCATTACCGGAGTCAGAGATGAGACGACTACTAATTCTTTGCACAAAAGACATTCAATTTAGATTCAATAACCAATTCTACCGACAAATCGATGGGGTCGCCATGGGTTCACCTCTAGGACCCATTCTAGCAGATATCTTCATGGGCTATCTGGAACAGACGCGACTGAGTGACGCTATCAATGAAACAACATACTACCGTCGATACGTTGATGATACTTTTGTTGTTTGTAACGACATGAGTCAGGCATCCGTATTATTTGACCGCCTAAATGAGGTCCACCCAAACATTAAATTCACCATGGAATACGAACACAACGATGAGTTCAATTTCCTAGATCTAAATGTAAAAAGAAGAGACGATGGAACGGTCGAAAAGTCCATCTACAGAAAAGAAACTTGGACCGGACAATACCTTCACTACAACAGCTTCTGCCCTATGAGCTATAAGCGAGGATTAGTAAGGACACTGTACGACAGGGCTAGGAGGTTATGTTCGCCCAACAAGATAGAAGAAGAATTAAGCTTCGTTGAAAAATGCCTTAAGGAGAACGGGTATCCAAAAGGATTTATCCAAAAGTACAGCAAAGAAAGAGATGAGAAAGAGAAGCATCCAACAGTTGAAAAGAAGAAAGTATTCATTTGCCTCCCATACAAAGGAGAAACAGTATCGCGAAAGATTGAAAAAAGGATGAAAGGAGCAATCAAGAGATGCTTCCCTGCAGCCAATCTAGTGACACTATACAGTACTACATGCTCTATAAGCCAATCGAAACTGGATAAATACCCTGCTGATGTTACCTCCAACTGCATTTATAAATTTACGTGCACCTGCGGCAGCAAGTACATCGGAAGGACAGAAAGAAGGGCTTCTATCCGGTTTTCAGAGCATATTCCAAGAAACTTATGCTTAAAAGGAAGCAAATATTTACAAAGTGCAATTACCAGACACCTTGTGGATACAGGCCATTTTGTTGAGATTTCCAAATCCTTCAAAATATTAAACATACAAAGGACAGCGAATCTACTACGATTTGCTGAAGCAATTGCAATCAAACGCTTCAGACCAAACTTATGCACACAGAAAGAGAGTGTAGTCAATCTCTCACTCCCTTGGTAACCATATCACTTTCATTACAGTGATTACTCATAGACACTAGTGAGTTCAACTCACTAAGCAAGTTTTCAAATTGATGAACTTTGACCTTGTTGAGTTGCCATGTTGACACTGTTTATTAGATTTTTCTGTTTTCTGTCTTCTCTCACCCCCCCCCTTTTTCTTTCTTTTTGCCATAGATTGATAGTATATAAATTGATGGTAACTTAAGCTACAAAAATTTTAATCCTTATATTCCGGATGCGTTTATCTTATAATGCTTTCTGTATTACCTTTCAAACAATGAAGTATGAAATGTTATTAATTATAACCATTGTAATTTCAGGTAGTTTGCAGCTGATGAGAACCTGTGAAATAGAATGATATCATTTTATACTGCAAATCTGGTCTTTCTTTCTCTATCGAAAATACAATTTATTGTTTATTACCTTTTATTATTCATCTATTTCATTTATTAGGAGGTTGAAGACTGTTAATGAGAAGGTCAACGAGTCGAAAGAAGCAGAAGAGAATACCAGAACTGGATGTTGCCGCTGCTGCTGCTTTCTATAATGACTGTACAGCTGAACAGATTGATTTGATTGATTGAATTTCTCATCGTTTTGTAATTGTTTTACATTCAGCATTATCTATTGTGAAAGAATATAATAAGTCTACTGGCATTGTTTGAAATGACTTTATCTTCATTTATGATTTAAACACCAAGAATAGTTATGTAACCAAATATTCAGCCAAACGTTTACTGTATTTATGTTGTTTCATGATCGATAAGTGTGCCTTAAAAATTATTATATCCTCTTTGTAGAAAATAACCAGATAATTTCGAATATTATTTGATATGGTGTATTACATACTAGTCGACAGGATGGATTCACATCACTTCACATTATTTCTATAGTTTATGACATAATTCACTCTAAACAGAACACTAAAGATTTTCACAAAGAAAGATGACCAAACTGAAAGCATGTCATTTCATACCGTGAACAACCTTATACACTAGACAGCCTTCCAGGTATAACGTAAAGCAGTTGTAGGATATAAAGAAATGTCTGCAGACGTCTTGTTACGAACTGGCTTACATTAATATGAAAAGCAGAGGTTTGTTTCTAATATGCTGTATCCTTATAATATAGAAAACAATATGTATACGAAACTATGGAAAGTGGTTCGTGGTTGAGTGTAAGAATCGAATTTATTTAGTAACTCTGAGATTTAATTGTTAACACTGAAGTCTGCTGACGTCATATCCATGGTTAAAGTTCAAGTCTTATTGGACAGCAAACAACTCCCAGAAGCATTTGTCTATTAGATATTTACTCAGTATAGATGGATTACATAAGTACAGATATACACTTCATGTTTCACGTCAACAGCTGTAGTGGTGCAGATTTAAAGTGAGTTTAATCGAATAAGTTTGTCAACTTGAAGTTACATTTAGAGAGAAAAAATTTGATATCTGTTGTAGTAGCGCGTTGAGATTTTACATCAGCATTAAGAAACAGTTCTACAATTATATTTAAAGTAATACTGATTTTGACAATGTCAGTAAATGGTTTTTGCATGAAACACAAGGTGTACTGTCAAGAAAGCTACCAAACAGGATGTTAATATAATAACTCATCAGCTATTTACAAGAAAGTCAAAATATCCCATTGAAAACAAAATTTTGAAGTCATATATGAAACAAAAGCTCACATTTGCACCACTTTTCTATACAACAAAGAGTTTACTTTACTACACTGACGTTTCCTGTCGATGTTTCGAATAATATATATATATATATATATATTATTGTATCCTTTAATTCCTAGAGGAATATAGGGCTTCAGCCGTGCGTCTCCATTGAGTTCGGTTCTCTGCTAGAGTCTTCACCTGGCTCCAAGTCTGCCCACACGTTTTCATCTCCTCTTCACATGACCTCCTCCAAGTCACCCTTGCATTGACGACCAACTCGCCGCTTCCCTTTCGGGTTCCACTCGAGCAATGGCTTGTCTAGTGATGTCACTTGATGGTTTGTTTTCTCAGAGTATGGCCAGCCAATCCATCTCCATTTCCTTCTGCATATTTGTTGAATATATATATATATCACAATTATTCCTTTCAAAACAAGATCTGAATCATCAAAACTTTTATCAGTTGAGTACTTCTACATAATTCCGAGATTTGGTTCGTCACCAAAAGCTACGCAGACTGTCGTCAATAGCTGCCTTCGTTCGATACTGAAGACCAGAAAGGATAAAAAACAAAGAGTAGAGTCAACAAACAAACAAAGGAGCTGTTGCCTAATGGTAACGTAGAAAGGAAATGATATAGATTGAACATTCGATGAGGAGACGACTGAGTAACATCAGCAACAGCGAGCTCTAGAGTTAAGCCTGAATAACAAACGATGAGTTCCATCTGTGTCCGAAAGTGACATGAAAGAGAAAGTGTAGTCACGGAATGAATCTTGAAACGACTATTACTTCATCGGCGTCCGAGTAGAATATATGACCTCAACAGCACGCATCCACTTTGTCATATTCTCTCCAGTCATTTCAAGCTGGTCCCACCGTTGCCCACATGGTCACTGATCTCATCCTCACACAATCTACTCCATGTCACACTCAAACGTACAAATAGTCGTTCACCATTCGGGTTCCAAAAGAAGGTTTGTCTGGAATGTGATGTCGTCCAACGATCTCCTCACCATGTATCCTATCCATCTCCATCTCCTCCGATGTACTTGTTGAGTAATGGAAGCTTGGTTGATTGGTTCGCACAGTTTCTTATTGCTAATTCTTCCTGGCTGGCCATTTCATCTTCAGTATGGAGCCAGCGAAGGCAGCTGCAGATAAAAGTCTGCTCCAGCCTGTTGAAAATGCTTCTTATGACGCTCGCACCAAGCTCCCGACCTATTCAGAAGAAGTGACTCACTTGATATTTGTGTTGAAAATTCGAATCTTGTTCTATATATGCTGAGTGCAGAAGACTTACAAACTGACTTCACAATGTTGAAGGTGTATCTCGCCTTTCCCATTCTAGCTAGTTTTGACATCCTCATCCGTGCTCTCCTCCTGTAGTTGAAACGATGCTTCCCAGATAAGTGAAGGAAGTGACCTCACTGAAATTTCTCCCGTTGATAGTGATTGGTGTTGGTTGTTCTTGTTGGTGCCCGACTATCTTCATCACCTCCGTCTTCTCTGTGTTCACCTGAAGTCCTGTCTTGGCTGCCTGCTTCTAATGCCAGTTTGTTGGTCTTTACCTACTTGCAACTCTTCTACTTTGTGTGACATTAGACATAAATCATCCATCTGAGAAATCCATATCTTTTGGAGTCTTCTGATCTGTCCAGTACATTCCTGTCTTCTCGCTCCCGACGCACAGTCTGACGCATAATCCAGTCCACTACAATTAGTAATATCATGGGTGATACAAGCAGGCATCCAGACTTGTCTTACTCCTGTATTCACTTCAAACGCCTCACTGAGTTTTCTGTGATGGATCACTGAACTCGTGGTATCACCATATAGCTGTTGATTGGGGTTTACAAAGACTTGAGGTACGTCATATTTTTGAATTAGTTTTCAAATTACTTGTCGATCAACACTGTCAAAGGCCCCAAAGTGGATGAAGTTGGAGTAGAGGTTTGACTGCCATTCTATGCTTTGTTTGATGACCATGCGAATAGCTGCACATGATTTGCCTTTCCTGAATCGAGCTTGTTCTATGGGGACGACTTCTGCACCCAGTGCATATTTCATTCTCTCCAGGATGATATGACTTAGTATTTTACTTGGTGTGAACAAGAGCCTTATTCCACTCCAGTTATTACAGAGACCTATTTCGCCCTTCTTTGGTAGTTTCACAAGGTAATTTTTCTTCCAGTCAGTGGGTAACTTTCCTTTCTGTCTTCTTGTAGTAGTAGTGTCAACATGTCTGCTGCGGTCTCTGCAACCGTCTTTACTGCTTCGGGGGAATTCCATTTGATCCTGCTACCTTCTCGTACCTAATTAGCTTGATTGCATTCAGCATTTCTGTTTCTATTGGAAGAATGGTGTCCACTGGTAGTAATATGTGTTGTGAGGGTGCTATTTTTACGCGGGTCGCAGGTGACGGTCGGCTCAAGAATCCTTTGAAGTGATCGGTCCATTCCTTTATTTGTCTCTTTTCTTTGGTAATCAGCTTACCCTAACTATCTGTTATTGGTTTCATCTGTGTTAATCTTCTCCCGGATAGAGACCAGGTTTTCTGATATAAAGTTCTGAGACTTCTTGAACCTGCGGCCTGCCTGTTCTGCTTCACTTGCGGGCCAGTTTGTCGTAGAATTGTCTATTGTCTTCTCTAGTACTACTCTTCATTTCATTATTCAGTGTGATTTACTATGAAAGCTTATTCAAAACCGTGTAGCCAGATGAAAAAGACTACCTTGAAAGAGAGAATTTCAAATGTGCTATTGAAGCCCTTTGTTCCACTTAGGATCCAAGGGGATTTTAGTGTAACAAATAAGAAAATATTTTGAAAGCATTAACTGCCTTATTATCTAGTTTATTTCAGTTAGTCTTTCATTTGCATAAAAGTGGGGTGTCTGACTGTTCTAAATGTATTGCATCTTTCAATAACGGTTACCAAAGACATATTTTACTCCTTATTTCTAAATTTTCGTGTGAACTTTATCTTCCGTTCAAATGAAGTTTCGGGCTATGTTTTGGGCTATTCAGTCATTTAGAACACAATATTCAGCGAAGAGACTCTTTTCAACGAATTTATTATCAAGCTGTACAATCGTATATATATGGTTTTTTATTTTTAAGAAATTATATCCGGTGAGGGAATTAGGTCAAAGGTGTGAATCTGAATCTTTTTCATTTGAACCACTTGACATTTTAAACCTAAAATTATTAGTTTTTATATTTTTATATTTTTTACAATATTGAATTCTGTCTTATCAAATTTCATACCATGTTATGTAACATTTTATATTCGTCTACTAATCTTATAATTATGTACCCTTTTCCAAAATCTATACACCTTATGTATTATTCTATATACGACATTAATTATTGTGCCACTTGACATTAAACTATGATTATAATCACAAATATTTTAATTGCATTTCATACTATTATTATTTCATATATTCACACCTTTGACCTAATTCCCTCACCGGATATAATTTCTTAAGAAAAAAACCATATATGTACGATTGTACAGCTTGATAATAAATTCGTTGAAAAGAGTCTCTTCGCTGAATATTGTGTTCTTAATGCTACAATGGGAATTATTAAATTATTCAGTCATTTGCAAAGCTTTGAATGTACCTGTTGTGTCATTCTGGTCAGATCTACCTCTAATCCTTTTCTCTATTTAGAGGCGTATACATAAGTAAAAGAATCTAGTGGGGTCTATCAGTTCTGTTTACATTCCCAACATTTTAACTTCCAAAGCCAGCAGTAACTTTGAGATGCATTATATACGCGTCGGCAGGGATCGAACCTCAGACCATGTGTATGGTCGGTGAGAGTCCTAACCACTGTGCCACCGACGCACAGGATAGTGTTCATTACAGTACTGATATAATACATCAAGGTGCTAAATTTTCATTTGAATCCTTTTATATACAAGATATATTACACGGACAT